TCGTTTGTCTTGGTGACCCCATCTTTCATGATAAAGTTGAAGTAAATCGGAATCTTGAACTTCATTAACTTCTTCCATACCATACTGCTTTATCGCTTTTATATTAGCTTTATAAAGTGTACCACCTACTGATCTTGACCCACATAAAACTATTTCATCATCAACAAATAGTTTACAATTGGTTGCTGTTGATATAAATCTGCTATTTGGTTGTTTATCCTGAGCTGATAGCACTGAGAATAAATTCCTTGTGATATTAGGTACATACCAAACGTCTGTTAAATACAGCCTCTCTGTTTTGTTCTTGACATTTGATTCAATTTCTATTGTACCTTTACCAATAGCTTGTAGAACTTCATTACCTGCCGCTCTTATAAAATTTGGACTTGAAAATGACTTAAAATCCTTAAAATTGTCTTTACTATTAGTTATATGGCGTGTTGCTCCATTGTCAATCCACCAACATGTGGTATCGGCATCTTGCACCACATTTGCTTCCTCACAAAAAACAGGCAAACACTTTTGACTCACAGCTTTGGCTTCATTTGCTTCTTTACTAGGCTTACCATCTGCTGCCCACTTGCGACAATCACGTACCCAATGTCCTTTCTTCTTACAGTAGTTGCAAACATCACTATTTTTCTTGTTAAATTTGTTAGAATTTTCAAATTTCTTAAATTTCGTTTTTGCTATTAGTGCTTCTTCAGTTGAGGTAGTATTGCCTTTTCCAAAGTTCCTTTGATACATAGTTATTTGCATACATAGCTCTTCAAATGTTTTCTCTTCATTTTTGCTTAACATCATCCAACTTGATTTGAACGTGTCGAATTTTGATGGTAGTATGTGCAAAACCTTACCCACTAGCAATAAATCTGGTAATTCGTTTAAATTCTTTTCTTTTAGTCCATTGTTGAATTCTAACCATAATCCTTTTAATTTGGCAATATGCATTGTGACATCTTCTGCACATACCTTGAACAATTGATCTTTTGCTGTTGCTTCGAAAGATTTTTAAGAGCATCCCACACATCTGCAGCACTTTCTTTATCCATAACTTTTTGGTAAATTTCATCACTTATTGAACTACACAACACTGATTTTGCATAACTGTTGGCTTTTCTGTACAAACCGCTTTGTTCTTGATATAATTTCTTTTCTTCCGCTGTGGCTGTTGATTCTAGAGGAGTTGGCTTATGTAATTTCCTATCAATTACATCCAATGTTCCTTCATGGTAATCTAAAAGATCTCTTATCTTTCTTTTCCACATTGTCCATTCAGTTTCACCTTTAAGTATCTTGATGTTCTTGCTAAAATCCATATTTGATTTTGTATTTTCTTCTTGTCTTGAAAAAATTTTCTTTTATCTTGAAAAAATTTTCTTTTCTTGACTTAAAAAAAAATGTTTCACTTCAGAAAAAATATTTTATTTTTTTTTTTAATTATTATTCAAGAGCTTCCTGGGCCCATAACCTTTTATTGTAAAAGTTTATTTTTGAATGAATATAAATACAAAACATTTCTCAAATACAAAATTCAATACAAGGTTTTACAAAAAGGGTGTTAACTAAATCTTAACACAAATACATTATTAACATCAATATTATCAACAATATCTCCTTCCCCTTCTTGGTCTTTACTCCTTAACACAAATGTAATTGGTTGATTTACTTTAGAACGATCGATGTACGGATAACAAATTCCATCGGATTTAACATCTCTGGCGGTAACAATCTTTTTTTTTTTTCATTCATATCCCAGAGTTTATATCCGTTAGACACGATCGTTACAAGAGTCACATTGTCTTCTATAGCTTTGGTGGGACTTCTGTTATTTATATAAACACAAGCAAGGGCTGCTTCATCCCACATATTTTTCGGCATACAGGATTCCAATAACATAGTACGAACATTCTCAACTAGTATTCTATTGAAACGCTCAGATACCACATTTTGTTGTGGAGAATAAGCAATAGTTTCTTCTAGTTGAATACCTTTCGATTTGGACCATTTTCCATTGCTCCTTGGAGTTATTCTCACTTCCTTGATCTGCGGTTAACTTTGAAATTGAAAACCAAACTTAGCTGCAGCCATTGCTTCGTACTCCATCAATTTCTCGAAAACGTTAGTCTTCTTTTTAACAGCATAAATTACTGCAAGTGGGTAAAATCGTCAATAAAGGATACAAAATATTTTGATCTATCCCAAGCTATAGGATCAATGGGTCCACAGACATTTGAATATATCCTTTCACAACCGATGACAGCTGTCATCTTTTTAACAGAAAGCAAGTTATCTCTCAATTTGGGTACATATAACATATCTTTTAATGTAATTTCAACATTCAACATTTCAACACAATTATTTGATACCAAATGATGCCTTCAAAGGAAATTCCTTCCTTTTTGCTGCATCCGTAGGAGCAAAGCCCGTTAAAACTTCTCCTAAGTTCAAACTTTCTAGACGAACTTGCACTCGGAATTGCCATTCGTCATATCCGGAACCGTTAAATTGTGGAATGCCACTTACTTCTTTGTCGCCCATAACCTCTTGTAATTGGAACGCGATGGCAAATTTATTTACATGAAAAAGGAAGTATTTGTTTAAGAAAAAAGATGTATTGTATTCACACAAGTTTACAAAGGAATGAACATTATTTCAAAAGTTTTCACAAACAAAATTTTCTCCCTATTCCAACTCAAACGATACTTTGTTGAACTGATATGAGTTCCAGGTTATGTATGTGGGCATTAAATATCTAACGAATGCGGTTCGTACTTGGATATAACCGTTATAGTAAAAAAGTTATGCCTTAATGTACATATATACATACACTTAAGTATGTTCACTGTTTTCATTACATTTGAATCAATTTTTTGCAAAAAAAAAACAATAAACTAATTAGTTATATTAAAATTTTAAATAATAACATGAACACTACACTATAGACTAGACTGTAGACTAGACTATCGACTAGGCTCTGTTGTGAACCGTGTTTTAAAATAAAATAACTTAATTTCAAAAAAATCTTAACAGTCACGAGCTATAGCAGTAACTTGGTAGCACTTTTTATATAAAATACAACCTTGTTAATTTTAATGACACATAGATGGAGCTGCAAACATTTGGTAAATGTCTGCCACGTATAATTTGTCAAAGTATGTGAATACAACAATTTCATTCTCGCGTTCATTCGTGTTAAATTTATTGCAACGAAAAGTAGGTGCGTGGTGCATAAACTCTATAAAATAAACTATATATAAAATTTATTAAACAAATAACACAATTTCTTGAATTAATTTAATAAATAAACCAACTAGAAAAGGTTTCTACAAAGTTAACAACCATATTCAAGTTCAATAAAAAACATTAAAATTATTAAACAACATGAAAAGTGAATCCGAAAAAACAAAATTACAGAGGGGAGAAATTTGCTCTAATTAGAAAAAAAATATAAATTAAAAAAAGTATTAACTATTATTAAAGTGACAAAAATAATACCAATTTATTATATTTAATAATAGTTAATATGTAATTAATTAGAATAGTGTGGAAAATATAGTTTCCGCATAAAAACTAAGTTTTTGAGAAAATTATATTGACGTGTGACGTATGCCACGAGTGCAAGCATACAGCACAAAAAGAAAACTACAACAAGTTGTCTTAATAAGATTCCACTTTTCAACACACTTTTCATTTGTTTATTTTAATGTTAAATGCTTTGATCTATTGTAACTAATTATATTTACTTTCTTTTTTATTACAGTTGAAATTTCACTAACAAAAACCCGCCATGGATAAAGTTGTTAAATTCTGTGAACCTGGTCGCGCTTTCGCCAAGGACTCCATCCGTTTGGTCAAACGTTGCACCAAACCCGATCGCAAAGAATTCCAAAAGATTGCTATTGCCACCGCTATCGGATTCTGTATTATGGGATTCATTGGTTTCTTCGTTAAACTCATCCACATTCCCATCAACAACATCATTGTGGGCTCATAAATTTCGAAATGGACGTTTTTATACCTCAAGGCTGTATCAGCTTATGTTTGTATCATAATCGTCTGTTTCTTTTTTTGATATATGTTAATATTTTTTAAGTTCCACATCCACAAAATATAAGAAAATTTATTAATGTTTGTGTTTCTACTTCTAAAACAACAAATGCATATTTTTTAGTAAATTTTTCTAGACTTTAAGCGATTATTTTTGAGAATTTTCACGTCAACTGGCATTACGGTCATTGGCTAATGAGAGTTTTCGACTTTTTTCCATTTTTTTTTAAATTCATGTTTAATTTATAACAATAAAATTTCTATAAAAATATAAATATATGGAAGTGTTTTTATTGTTTGTTAAATCCTGTTACTTCTTTCAGATATCTACTAAATTTTAAAATCACTGTAAATTTATAAAAATTCAATTTACTCCACATTTCGTCTTTACTTTAAGAGGAACTTAAAAGCTACAGCACGTCATCTTTGCTCTTTTTTTTGGAATTTATAGTCTGAAAACTTGATTAAGAAATCTCGGAGAATTTACATGATATAACAAAGGTAAAATCTTTGTATTGAAGAAAATGTATAGGACTTGTAGTTGACATAAACAATTTTATAAATAAAGATCATTTCGCTCATTTATAACGGTTCGAATCTGGCCAAAAATATTGCAGTTTTCAAATATTTTTTATTTTGAAATAGAGTCAAAGTTTTAGTTTCTTCACAGACTTCCGGTTTATATGAATCGAGAATTTTGTATCTTTTCTCTGGTTTTGTCGAATACATTCTTTTATAGACATTTAAACATACATACAAACTTCGATATCGTAGAGTATCTTCCAACAAAATGCCTTTTAAGTTTCAAGTGAAATTTAATCACGCAACTATAGATTATTTCTGGAAAGAATCAACGAAGTTGAAAAAAATGTATCTACTGCAAATTTGTTTCACAATCAATCTACCTATTCTAAAAACCCGTAATAAATAAACTCGTAATTTAAAATTGATTTTTTTTATTTTTCCTTAATCTCTATAAATATCATTAAAATTTAAAATAAACAATATTTTGTTTACAATTTTATGTATAAACTTCCTATGTACTATGTAGTATTAATGTTTTTGTGATGCAACACAGGCTTAAAAATTATGGTATACATTTGTGTGTGTGATTTTTAGTAGTTTTGTCAAAAAGAGCACCAGCTCCCTTTTACATTCGATATGCATAATATTATATGTATGTAATAATAATAAAAAAAATAATAAAACAAAAAGCACTTGAGAAACCCAACAATTTACAATTCTTCAAAGAAAGCCACACGTGCCTTAGTAGAACCAGATTTTAATTTCTTCAAGGTGGAATATTTCGTTTCACCGGCTTTTAATTGGGCCTCACTTAGAATATCGAGATTAGTTTGATTTTCCTCGATTTTAAGGAGCTCAATTTCGGATCTTAATGTTTGTAGTTGGTTCTGTACTTGTTTGTGTTTTTTCAAATACTCTAGACGACTTCGTTCGATTTCGTTAGTGATTTGCTCCATTTCGCTGTCGGTTAAAATAAATTCTTTCGTTTCGAAATCATCATTTTCAGAGTCATCGTCTGCTACCTCATTTACAACTACGCCTACACCTAAACCTCCACCTACGACCTGATTTAAGTTATTTAAATCATTTGTGGTTAACTCAACACCTCCGGTCGATTCATTAATATCGGCAGTAGAATTGCTATTTGTCAGAGACGGTGTGCTAACAGAGGCTGCAATATTATTACTGGAACTCGAGGAAGAATTGACGGTTATGTTAGGTGGCAGCATACTGTCTTGTGAGTTTTTGCGACCACGATTTAGGAAATTTAGCAGACGTGCCGTGGCTTCCCGTTCTGCTAGTTTGGCACAAATAAGTTCTTTTTTAAGCTTTTCAGCTTCGGCTTCACGTTTATCCTTCTCCACTGTGAGCTGATGTACATAGAAATCGGCATCGCGTATTTTCTTTTCAAGCTCCATTTTTTCACGTTCAATTTTCATTTGACGTTCACGCAATCTATCCATTTCACTCTTAAAATGATTCGCTTTGCATTCTGTCAATTGCATTTGCTCTTCATTGACACGACTTTTTTCAAAGTACAATTCTTTAGTTTCCTCAGAACGGCGCTAAATGAAATACAATTTTAATAGCAATATTTTTTTTTTAATTTTTAAGATAATATATACCAAAGCATCACTAGCCATGCGCATGTCTTCCTGTAAACGTTCCAAACGACTTTCCAATTCATAACGATCCTGTTCTGCTTTTTCTCGCAATTTTTTCTCTCTTAAAAATTTTGTACGTTCTATTTGTCTGCGTTGTTTTTCCTCCTTGGCTTGAGCTTTCATTTGTTGTATTTCCATTGTATCAGGCTTACGACGTCTCATATATAAATCATGATTGCCCTTACAAAGATCCAATATCTTGAAAAAAATTAAAATTTTATTTATAACACTATTTTTAAGTTACATCTTTAAAAAATGTTACCATTTTATTTATGTGTAAATCTTGGGAATAAAATATAAAACTTGATACTTTTGCATCCACTAGGCGTATAGTAAATTTTTTATCATCAAAACTAACATGTCGTATTTCATTCCATTGGAATGTCGTTTTCGGCGTTAATTTATTGTGATAATCGTAAATGTTGAGTCCTACTGCAGTTACACCCAGCCAAAGTTTTGTTTTATTTTTATTCTATAAAATAATATCAAGATTATTTTAATAAACTTGGTCAATTCAATATAAATAACATTTTCTTACTGTAATGGGGAAATAATTGACACCGTACATATCTAGGTCTTGTGCAATTTTCAAGTATTCCATTTCAACTTCATCTCTTGTCATTGGTTCATGATCCATATACCTAAAAACGATTAATATTGATTGTTAATGGTGTAAGTAAGATGAATAACTGAATACTAATTATACAATTTACAATTTATTATATATTATCGGCTATACTTTCGCCTCTAAATTTGGAATAAAGTTAATTTTTTTTAAGTTTTTATTTGTTATCAGTCAATTGATTCGTTTTCTATATTTTATTATACAATTCGAAAAAATCCTGCAAATACATTGATTAAATCCCCCTCTTACCAAGTTTTTATACGTTCCTCCCACATTTTTGGTGTCATCTGATACTGATCCGTAACACCTTTCGGCAATAAATCCACACCCTGCAACATACCATCCTTATATGTTTCCGAATCATATGGCCCATATTGTACGTGAACAGCATACGATGCCAGCAGAACAGAAGCTTCTGGACGACAATAAATATCCATTGAGAGTATACTTTGTTTAACTTGTAAAAAGAATAAATGTTGTGTTATCTCTTGTATCAATTCTTCGCTGACATTTTCGGGAAAATATTTTGCATAGAAACTGAACACATAAAAGCCATTCGGTTGCAATTGTATACGTTGATCTTTGACTTTTTTGTCCATTTTCAGCCAAGTAACATTACAACGCGTATCGACATATTGCAAACCGAAATACCAGTATTCGCGCAAACCTATGGTACGGCATACCAAATCGAATAGGTCTTGACCGCTGGCCCTCTGTTCTAATTCGAATTCAAGTTCCGAATCGAAGGTTATGACCTTAACAGGAAAAACCCTAGGTTTTTTGCTGCGAAATGGACTCATTTTCATTGAGATGTGTGTGCTTGTGTTTATTTTAAACACACTCGTTATAACATTCCCGGGGGATTTTAAGGTATTTTATGATCGATTTGATTTTATATAGATTTTTTTTGTTTATAATAGAATTTTTTTATGCTGGCGCAGCATAATTTTTAGGCACATTGACTTTCTGTTAATGAATAAGGCACTGAATGTTGTTTTTATTGCATAACAATTATGGAATTTACAAAATTTATACTATAATTTAATGTTTATTGTAATATGTTGTAGGAAAACAAAACTTTTTTTATTACATTAAAAACTAAAAATAAAATTAATTAAAACAACAACAATTTTATACAATTGTCAAAATTTGTAAAAGCAACAAATGTTTGTTGTTGATGGCTGGCGGTGTTCATTAATAAGTCTATTTGACACAAAGAAAATAACAGTGTTGCTAACTAGTTTTTATGACTAAATAAAATAAATATGTCTATTATTTTTGTAGTAATATGTACATCGCAAAGATTATTTTCTCTCAATATTACCTATCAATTGTGTTATGCATGAAATGTTTATTTATTAGGGTGATCGATTATTCGACATTTTCCAAAAACCGGTTTTCGAATAGTTCGAATAGTTGACATTTAAAAAAAATCGGTTGATATTTTTCAAATACAGAAAAAACCGGTTAACCGGTTTTTCATTATAAATAAAAAAAATATATTTTAATTTAAAAAACTTAATGTTTATGTTTAAATTTGATTAATAAAACATGGCCCGAAATGATTTTTAACAGTTTAAAAGATTATAACTTTAGATCTAGTCGTCTGATTTACATTATTTCTTTAATATAAACAAAATTAGGAAAAAAGTGGGACACTTCTGTTAAACATAAGGTACTATGTAATCCTAGCTTATTTTAAAAGCCCTGTTTAGGAAATTTGCATAGGCATTCCAACACTTCCATAAAATTTCAGCCGTAAATTAATTATTGTAATTGGAATATAATCTTAAGATTGATAAAATTTTATCAAACAGTTATCAATTTTACAAATAAATTTTTTAATTAATTAGGAAAATCAAAGAAGTTTAACCAAAGGAACTGTAGAAAAATATACGCTAGTTCCTCGACTCGAATATTTTTAAAATTTAGACGGGCTGTATTATTATTTACTTAAAAATTTCATTTAAATAATCTTTGAATACAAAGCAAATAAAAGTATTCGAAACCGGTTTTTAAAAAGTGAAAAAACCGGGTTATTCGATATTCGAAAAATCAACATTAAGAAAAAACCGCCACTGGTAAAGCAGAAAAAACCGGTTTTAAAACCGGTTGAAAAATCGAGTCGATCACCCTATTATTTATACATATGTATAGACATTTAATATATAAGTTAAAAAATATTTTATTAAAAAATATTCGTCTTAAAATCGCTGAGTTGGTAACACTTCATCCTGCAGTTCGCGCCAACATTTTGCTATAACTGCGACCCAGCTACTATAGTAGCTGGGTTCGTTCAAACCTTCGAACCTATTCCATATATTTTTGTCGTGTTCAATTATTACCGTTACGGACACATACTTTGATGCAGGGGACCATTTCCAATCAAAAAGTTGATTTTAAATTTTTTGGTTGTTACGCCTTTTTGCATTTCAGTTGACGATATTAAATATCATTAAAAAAATAATATAGGCCAACAAATTTTTAACCCAGGGACCGCAGTATACTTTTCTAAAGAATTCAGTTGCGATGAATCCGTATCCTACACATGAGTTTTTCGAGATATCATGTCCTAAAGATTAAAAATCCCGTTCTTTGTCATGATCAAGCTGTTATAACAGCGCGATTTACTTGGAAATGTATAATTTGGTCTCTGGGTTTCGAATTTTTTTTAAATTTGTTGAGTTGTGTTATATTTTCGGAAAAACGAAAACTTACCTTTGATGTGGCTGTTCCGTTGTCTTGATAATACGTTCATAATGCGGTACTGAGTTGAAATTATTTGACCCATTAGGAATCAGATTGTTCAGGAAAAGGAATCCATTTCTAGTGGTCAAGTATATCGTCACCTAAAACGCAAACGGCCCTATCTAACATTTTTAAAATTTTACAGAAACAAAAAACTATTGAAATTGAAAAGTTTGTTTCCATCAACGCGATTTATTTGTAGTAAATAAACAAATTGTTTAATAATGAAACCTATTAGTAGTTATGATAGTTGACAATGGCGTATACAAAAATGGATAAATTTGACTTTTTACCTTTAATATTTAAATGTTTTTGTAGATAGGGCCTTTTGTTTTTTGTCAATAAAATTGCTAACTTCGGTCGGAGAAGTCCAATTTTTTGTGTGAACATTTGTTTTGATGCAATACATTATAATCGATTTGAATTTTTGGTTAGCTAGGGCCGTTTGCGTTTCAGATGACGATATAGATTGCTGCAAATTCCTTCAATTACTCAACTTAATTCTTACAATATAAAAGGGATATTCTAGCGATCTTGAAGGCCACAACATTGGTTATGCCAATTTTTTTCACAGAGGTATTAAAATGAACATTTACATATGTATGTCAGTAGCAAGAATTCATTCCAGGATTGTGGAGACTTTTATAAGGGCCCTTCGAGTTGTTGGATGCATGAAATTTTAAGGAGACGAAAATCTCAGACGACTTTAACCAGAAGTGACACGATAATACCTCCTATTTGTCATGGGATAGAGGTTTCGGAACTTTAGTAGTTCGCCAAAAAATTGGACAATTACATACGAAATTTTTAAAAGATGTATGACGATACAGTTTAATACAAAACTTTTGAAGGGCTAGAAGGGGGATCCATGATGGATTGGTTGATTACTATTTATTAAGTTAGTTATGCTTATTTTTTTTTGTAATTTGAAAATATTTAAAGATAAGAGAATTATAATTATTTTATAATTCTGAAACATTTTGTAATTATAAATTGAATTAAAAATTTTTCACTTTGTAATAGCTGAAATTAAAAAATATAAGAAAGTTTCCTCTGTTGAATGCAATCCAATAAATAATTAATTCTTTTGGGAATTAATTCAATTGAATCTAAATTTAAAGAATTAAATATCTGAATTATTTACAAGAGAATAATATTAAAAAAAAAATGGTACATAAAATATTTTAAACCGAATAAATAAATTAGAATGATGCATTCAAATATTTTAAGTAGAATTGAAAATTAACGAGAATAAATTCCGTCTAAATTTTGTCTACAATATGTAAATTTAAATAAATCAAATAATTTAAAAATATTTAACAACAAATTTCTTAGAATAATTGCAGTCAGTGCACTTTTCAATTTTTCAATTTTATAGTAGTGACTCATGAAAAGTTTTATTTCAAATAAAATATATTTTCATTCAATGTTTTCTTTTAATAACTAAACTAAAAATTATTTTGTAATAATAAATATATGAAAAAAAGATTTAAGTATAATATATAGAAATAACATAAATTATTCATAACATCTTATATATAACTCCTTCAAAAACATCATTTATTAATCGACTACACTCATTAGGATTATAAAAAATTACCATAGTGCAAAATAATATTCAATAGCTGCTATGTTTGCATTTTTATACCGCACATCTTTTCATGCGTTCCAAATGTAAATCGTGTAATAGTTTATTTTTTACATAATAAAACGGATTCTGAGATTCATCTAGTTCTGGTTCATACAAATTTTTATCGGCAGTCATAGGTTTCAGAGCAGAAGATTCTGCCGTCATCATATCTTTGGTTAAGTGTTGCAAGTGATTGTTGTTGTGATGTGCATGAGTGTTTTGTAGTTGTTGATTATATTGAGCCTCTTCAAAATTAGATAAGTGCAAATTATTAATACGTTTAGACAATGGTGTTGATTCACACAATACATCATCTTCACGACTGCGTTTTCTATGAAATAAGAGTTAAAATAGACATGATCAAATTACGACTTTAAAAATATGCAACATTTTACATGTCTAGGTCCACTGTAAAATACTGTCTCCTCTACTTTTCGTACTTTTGATTGTGGTTCTTACCTTTTATCAATTAATCCAGACATTTTTATAGCTTCCTTCTTCTTGTCGAATTAAATTTTATAATGAAATGCTTGTGTTTTAATATTTATTAATTAATTTATTCCTTGTTATTTTAACAAAAATTTATTGGCATCTCAGCTGTCATTGTTTTTATTTAAAAAAATTTCTTCTGATATATTCTCACAACAATGACATTCTTTGTTATTTTTTTTAATAACTGTATGAACATAGCTGTATAAAAACGTACTTTTAAAACGTTAATGTTATCGTTGCCGTTAATGGGACAATATTTTTATTAAAAAAGAGTCATGGAAAATTGACTCGTTTCAAACCAGTATTATATAATTAATAAAATTTCAAATGATTATTTTTTGAATTAGGAAAAGAAAATTTCATCTTGCAATAATTTTTCTAATTTTCAAATTCGATTGCCCTTTTCCAAATTGGAAATGGAAAATCTTAATGTAAAATGAATATCCTAAGCTTTTCTGGATTTGAAATGAAGAACTTTTACAATATGTAATGAAAAAATATATTCCTAGCTGTATTTAACAAAACGTTAGACACATATTCACGTTTAATACTTTTCTAAAACAAATCTATTGTGCAAAACTACCATATTACACATCTCTTCATAATTGTTCAACGCATAGCGTGGTGAATTTTATATTCAAGAAGCGCAAACAGAGACCTGTGCCGATTTACTCTAGCCGCAGGAAAAATTTAAAAGCCGCCCTTGTCAAAAAAATTGAAGCATGGTCTTTAGGACCATATAATAACCAGTTGCTTCATTAAAAAATAGTTGTATTGAATCCATTTTTGATATATAACAATTTTCAAAATATTTTTTTTCAAACTTCCAATTTGAAATTTCTCTGAGCTTGCATTTATTCAAAATCGATAAAAAAAAAAATAATAATACAGCTGAAAATTTAGCCGGCTTACGGTCGATTTTAAGCCGCCGCCGATATTTTTAGTGTCAGCCGCCGCCGCCGTTAATATTTGTCGGCGCAGGGCTCTGAGCACAAAGCAAAGAACAGCAGAAAGAAAATTTAAAGAAGGAAATTTTTTGTGAATACGAGCTGATCTGCCCAACCCATAAAATTTCTTGTTAAAAATGTAAGTAAATTAACAAATTTTTATTAGAAAAAATAACAAATAAAACTAAACAATAATAAGTGCTAATGAAAGAATATAAAAAACAAGTGCTAATGGTCAAATTTGTGTTGCAAAATAAAGAAAATTCTAAAGTGAAAAGTTGAGACGATACGAAAGAAAAAAAACTTTGCAACGATGACAGAGAAGTAACGACGAGATGATGAAGTCGGCGAAGCAGTGCAACAAAGAGGAATATAGAATAAAAGAATAATGGTGTTTTTTTCATACCTTTAAAAACGGAGTGTGGGGAAAATGTCGCCTACATTTTTTACAAAATAAAAAAATTCATACTTATGTTCTTGCGGCAACTTTAAATATCAAGGCAGCGCAGTGGCGTAGACTGGGCAGATATTTGACTAGTTAGTTAGTCAGATTATTTGTCGTTCTGTCTATATGTCTGATGATGATGGACTAAGAATTCAGCTAAACAGCAAAAATAAAACAAACCCAGGCACTTAGCTGATGATAATGGGCTATGAAAAATAAACCAAACCAGTCAAGTCAGCCAACGCAAGCCAGGCAGCTTATCCATAAAAAGAATTTGTGCTGCTATTGATATTTATATGTGTGTTGTTTTTTTATTTTTTGGTGTTGATATTGTGTGGTTGGTGTAGCAATTGTTTTTTAAACGTTTTGCTGCTTTAGTATGTGTTTGGAATTTTCTTTATTCTTGTGCTAAATTCCTAAAAACAAGTTTGGAAATCAATGACTTTCAGTTATACTTAGTGCAATGTTAACTTTAAAACAAGTACATTTTTATTTTTACCAAAGCAAAAGCATTAAAACAACTTAAGACTGTGAAGTAGTGTTTGGTGTTAATAGTTTAAAAATAAAACTGCAAAAACTAAAAAAATTGGTTAGTTATTTTCTAAAATAGTAATGCGTAGTCTAGCATATGAATTTTTGTCTTTTAACTGCTCTTTCTTTTTTATGTTTGTACTCCAATGTATGTATAAATGTAAACCATGATGTTGATTGGTAGTTAATAATTCTTATCACGTTATCACATAATAGTTTTCCCGTCGAAAAAAAAAACAACAACAGCAAAAACAAAAATTGAGTCATATCATTGTAGCAGAGATATACAACAAATGTATGTATTCATACTTACATACATACTAGTATATTTGATAAAATGATCATAGTGCAAAAAGTATTCGAGTCAAATGATTACTCCATTGTATACAATAAAATTCGCTGTTTGCTTCTATGCACTACCACCATGCAATCCAAGTCAATTGCGTCGTCAAGGCTCTGCTATCACTTTTTTGTTGGTTGCTTGTAGGGAGCGACTGCATTCATCAAAAACGATAAAAGAAAATCATATTGTATACAATAACAAAAGTGGGATTGTGTAAGTGCATTGCAAATCAGAGTATTAAAATAATTAATTATTAAGTTTAAATTCATCCAAATATATATTGACTTTAACTTTAGAAATCCAGTCCAGGTCCAGTTTGTCATATATTTTTGACGCTCTGAAATTATTTCCAATTTATCTTCTTTTTTAACCGAAATTGTGGACTTTTTTATTGTTAACGAAATATTTTTAAAAGATCTATGTTCATTTTTTGAGACCATGAATGATTCAACCCAATTTCAGATACTCTAATCTGAAATAAAATAAATCGAAACAAATAATCGGACAGACCAAGGGCCATGGGGTGGAAGAATAGTAAAACTTCCCAGGTACTATGTTCTAAATAGTTTACAACTGGCCTTGCAATAGGTATGTCATGATGGATTATTACTGCTTCATCATGTCTGGTCACATTTTCTGGGTGTTCGTTTGCTAATGCTTCACATTCAGTTAGCCTATGATCGGCAACTGTCGAATTGTAGTAAACATTAAAATAAAATGGAACGCAGAATACCAACTTTGCATTCCGTTATGAAGAGGGGTGTATAACTTCTAAACCCAATACAAAATTTTTAAAATTCCAAAAAGTAAAACCAATTTTCTAGAATTTGTTATTTTAATTTTCTGATTGTTTTAATGTTGCACGACGAAAGACAATCATTGGGACTTTACACACAACAAAATGTAATTTGTTGTCTACTTTTTATTTGTTTGTAACAGGCAGGAAGGAAGTAAATTTGAGTTATTTGAAGAATTTTAATATGTGCAATACTACTAACAAAATTGTAAATATTTTGAAAGAGTAAAAATTAGAAAGCATTTTTATGCTCACAAGCGAGCTTATTCCAGCTGCTATAAATAAGACTTAAAATGTTATCAGTCAATAGTTTATTAAAGAAAGTTTTTTATATTAAAAAAAGTTACATTTTAGTCTTAATCTATGTTTTTAAAGTTCACATATTGTAATTGTTATCCACCAATGCAATGGTTTTATTGTTAACATTAGATGAACTCCACCTAAAAAACTTTTTATATGCATATTCTCCATAGTAGGGTAATTAATTCTAATTCAAACATTCATCCTTTGTATAGACGCCAACAATAGCATATTGTTTTTTTTAAACACAATCATAGAATAACTCTTATCGTGTTATATGTATAAACTTGAGCCAGGCACTCCCCACAAATACTGTCAACTATAAAGAATAAAAAAATGCACCACATGAAGATAAAATCAGACAAATATACATTTTAACACAAGGGAGTTTTCAGTAGCAGAGTCTAGCAGACAGCCAGTGTGTTTTAAATTATTTTGTCTTTATGCTTTTATACATGTAAAGTTAAAACGCAATGGTGAAAAAGAGATTTTCAACAGAAACAGAATAAGGCAAAACTTTCAAATGATAAAAAAATCGCAATAAAACAAATATGTATTTACAAATGATTCATTAAAGGTTTTTTTAAATACAAAACTAATAGCATACAGTAAAACTAGTAATAAATACTTTGTAATTTAATTAATAATTGTAAATTTTGGTTTATTAATTGTGTCCTTATTCTTATAACGTTTTTTACTTTTAGCGTAATTAAAGACAATGCAGACTATTAAGTGTGTTGTTGTTGGTGACGGTGCTGTTGGTAAGACATGCTTGCTTATCTCTTATACAACTAATAAATTCCCCTCGGAATATGTGCCCACCGTTTTCGATAATTATGCCGTAACGGTTATGATTGGTGGCGAGCCCTATACATTGGGTTTATTCGATACAGCTGGTCAAGAGGATTATGATCGTTTGCGTCCATTGTCGTATCCACAGACCGATGTGTTTTTGGTGTGTTTCTCAGTCGTTAGTCCTAGTTCATTTGAAAATGTTAAAGAAAAGGTAAGTAGTTGTGCTTTTTTATTTTTTCTGGAAATCGACGAATCTGATACGCAAATCACATTGATTTGTGTTCTGTAGTAATAGTCAGGCTGCGGAGATCTAAGCGATCTGGAAAGCTACGGAATTGATACGGAATCACATGGATTTCGCGTCTGTAGTAATAATTTATGTCGATAGTCAGGCTGCACTTAATGCATTAAGAATGTTATGAGATGTGTTGGGTATCAGGCCACTGAAATATACAGCGTAATGAGATAGCTCACGAACTGTCTAGATTAGGTTCAAATCTTGACCCAAATGAAGGGAACAGGAAGGTTGAACTACCCGTTTGTCACTATTATAGATTCCACGACATTATCTATTAGCCCTGCTAAAAGCAGAAAACTTGTTGCACTAGATCGATGTAGTCTGAGGACACTGACAGGGATACTTATGGGAAATTTTTATATATTTCAGGAACCAGTTTAATTCCCCTTGGGAGACAGTCTGGTTCTAGTCCTTTAGTGACTTTTTCAGTTTTTCTTAATTATTCTCTGTGTTTGATTCTTAACTTTCCCTAAAGGTAATCATGATGGACCTCAGTGGTCTCTAACCTTATTTCGAAGATCAGAAATTTTAAAGTATTTTCAATGCAGATTAGTATCAGATTCGAAAAGTCAAATATAATTCGAACTTTTAAGTTGAGAATTTATTTTATAACAATTCGAATATAAAATCGAAAATTTTAATTTATGTTCGAAAGTTTGTTAAAGCTTTTAAAATTAAGGCTACTTTATGAGAATTCTCTACACTGTAATAGCATTGCAAATTTTTGGAATCCTATTGTCAAAAATGCCGATATTTTTCATTTTCATACTTAAAAATTTCGAAAATTTTCGTAAATTTAAAGTAATTACAAAGTAGTTTAGGAATATATTCGGAAATTCGAATTTAAATTCGAACTTAATGCTGCAGTTTTAATTAATAAAATATAATAAAAATTTTCCCTTTTCAGTGGGTGCCCGAAATAACACACCATTGTCAGAAGACACCATTCTTGTTGGTGGGCACACAGATTGATTTGCGCGATGAAACCAGTACTTTGGAAAAATTGGCTAAAAACAAACAAAAGCCCATTGGCATTGAAATGGGTGAAAAATTGGCTAAAGAATTGAAAGCTGTCAAATACGTTGAATGTTCAGCTTTAACACAAGTAAGTTGTTAATGAAATATTTTAATTGAATACCTGTTACTCCATTTCTGAAGAAAAATTATAATTCTTTGGACAAGGAGGAATAAGTTATTTATACTCTTTAGTTTCTATCAAATAATAAACAAAGTTTTTATTTATGTTACTAATACATTATCAATTGTTATTTTTATTTGGCTATTTGCAGAAAGGTCTTAAAAACGTATTCGATGAAGCAATATTAGCTGCATTGGAACCACCAGAACCCACAAAGAAAAGGAAGTGCAAATTCTTATAATTTTTATGTGTATTATAATTTATTGAAAATAACATAACAAACAAAAAAATACACGCAATCAACAATTTCTAAAAAAAAAAATAACAAATAAACATAACAACAAAATATTGGCTTATATTAAAATTTAAAACAAAGCATCAAATTTCATTATTAAATTGAAAATAAGACAAAAAATTAAATTAAAAAAACATTTACGGCTTAATTTAAAAACAAGTAAAAATGAACCAGTTATTAAGAAAAATAAAGTTTTTTTTTCAAACAAAATCTTTAAATTATAAAAGAACACCAACATTTTAAATAATGTTAAACTATTTTCTAGAAAACAAATATTGAAAAACTTCAAAATAAAAAACATTTAAAAACTATTCAAACAGCAGTAACAATAATTTATCTATAATTATAATGGAAATTAATACCAACAACAGAATTGAGTATTGAAAATAAAACAAAAATATGAAAAGAAAAAAACCTTATTATAAACCACAAAAATATAGTTATTTAACATTAAAAGTCTACAAAAACATTATTTCCCTGTATTCCCCTTATTTAATTTTACGTTTAATTATTTGTTTTAACAGTTTTTTCTTCTCTAAACCACAATATATTATTAAATTAAAAAAAAATCAAATTCCATACAAAAAACTCTCTAACTATCCAAATATTTCTCTCTCTAACTATTTCCCCCTCATGCAAAAGCAACACTTTGTCTTAATAAGGTGTGTTATATTTAGTAATTAAAACAAAAACATTAAAATTAATCTAAAATGAAACACAAAACGTGCATAAACAAGAAAAAATAGTAAGAAAAAGAAAACAAAAATGATTCTAGTTCTCTCGTCGTAATGAACTAATGCATTTTTTTTAATTTAAATTAAATAAAAAAGTATATTAAAATATATTAATCATTAATAATAAAAGCAAAAAAACATATTTTTATATATACAATTATCAATTTTTACATTATATTTTAGTTTTAGACATTGTAATTATTGATTTCAGATATTATAATAAAGAATAAAACCAAGAAATAATAAAAAAATCTACATTTTTGACCCTTTTTTTACTTTATACCTATTTTTCTTTTGTTTACTATCGTTTTGTTAATGTTTGTAAAAAGATTAATTGTTCTTAGATTTATTAAACAAATGGTATTGAGAGGGCGAAAATTTGTAAAACTACTTGGATGCAGTTCAAAATCAATCTTATTTTCAACACTTACTACGTTTTTACAAAATTGGTTTCAGAATAACTGAAAACCCGTTTTGCTGCAACATATTTGAAACAAATCGTTTTAGATGGACTGTGATCCTTCAGGCTTCGAGTGGCCAGCCTTTAGTAGAAAAACTACCCTAACCTAACTCCCATATTTAAGAATATACTACAAATATCTACCAATAGTAATATTGTCTACCCAGAGATATTACTTAACGGAAAGACGCCTTTGGCCTCAAAATTCCATCAAGTTTAGTTTTCGAAATATCGTGTCTTTAACTTTGAAACGTTATAACAGCACAAATACACCAGTAATTATAAAATCTGTTATGTCATGTGAAAGTCTAAACTGGCGACTTTAAAGTAAAGGTTTCTGTTTCCCCTAATATTCCTTTTTCGAGATACCTTAACCTTAAATTTGATCGTTTAGAAAAGTATAATTATGTTATTGGGTTTCGACTTTTTAACATTACTAATGGATTAGCCGCTCTAAATGAGAATTTGGACTCAGAATTCCATCACATCAAAATATCGAAATATCATGATGATAGCAGGATCTGTTAAATCATCCGAAAGTTCAATTTGTTGACTATATAATAAAGGTTTTACCTCCGTTATACCTTATTTCTTCTTCGCGATATTTTTACCTAGAATTTGGACCTTTAGAAAAGTAAAATTTGTTCTCTGGGTTTCGACTTTATTTTTTGCCTGCGTTATCGTTTATAACACTGGTTTTCAAGAGAATCAGGAATATGTGCAACCTAAGTCATAAGCTCTCGTTCCTTTCAATATACCCTTAAGGGTCTTTATAAAAAATTCGTTGGAATCTAAATAACTCTATCGAGCCTGTTTTTATGAAAATATATTTATAAATATCATTTGATAGTAAAATTTGTAGACTTTAAAACAAAGGTTTTTTCTCTGTAATATCTTAAAAGTAACTTTTTAACTCTGTCGATCATTAAAATATTAATCGGTTATTCTGGGTTTATTAAACATATATTACATACAATATTCCTTTATTAGGCATTTATGAATACGGGGATAAGTCCAGCATTTAGGTCGTTTACGTCTAGTTGGGAAAGGTACTCGGAAGTATAGTTTTCATTTAACAGATGAATAAACTTAATCGTAACATTCCTGTAGTTAAGTCTGTTATAAAAATTTTATTCGTAGATATTTTAAGATGTTTCGCCCAAATTTTCTTTCTGTGTAAAACAGCTGTTTTACAGCTGTGTTTGTTTTGGTCGTTGTCTCTTTTTCTTTTGATAAGCATTGAGTGGTGAATGCGTATTTGTTTGGTTACATTAGTGGTTTTTCTTCTCTCTATGATTAATACGTCTTTTATAAGTGAAAATGTTATTGAATTGTAAAAAATTAATCAATTATAAATGCTATAGAAATCTGGCGACCATTTCTAATAGGAAATTATGTATTTTGGGTATAGAAACTTCATGCGATGATACCGGTATTGCAGTTGTTCGCCATGAAAATGGTCAGAATACAGTGTTGGCAAACGTCTTAAATTCACAACAAAGTTTTCATATAAGGTGAGTTAGTTGGTGTTATTTAAATGATTGGTCCTTCGAATCAAAATAACAAGGAATTGTATTCAATACTTTGTAAAAGTATGCAAAATATTCCCCAAATAAGTCAAATTTCTCAACATTTTTAAATCCTATTTTGTAAGAATAAATTTTCTTAATAATATTTGAAATCGGCTGAATAGTTTTTCCTAATTATTAATACAAATTAGTTAGAAAAATACTTTCCCTTGAAGAAAGAATAACACTATTTTTATTCAATAACTGTTGTTTTTTTTCAGATATGGCGGTATAATACCACCACGAGCACAAGATCTTCATAGGTCACAAATTGCCAATGTATTTGAACGCTGCCTAAAAGAATCAAATCTTAAAGCTGAAGATATCGATGCTATTGCCGTTACAACTAGACCAGGTTAATATCTATTTAAATAAAATTACTGTTTTATTAATTAGATTTGGTTACCGAATACCGATACATTTGTTCGCTAAAAAATCGTTTCCCTCAATACCGTTATTAAACGGAAAAAATCATGAATTTCATCGTTGTGCTAACAATGTTCTTTAAACCATACATTTATTAAAACTTTTTCTTTTTAGGTTTACCCTTAAGCCTACTGGTTGGTTTACGTTTTGCCCGCTATGTAGCACGTTTATATAATAAACCTTTGATACCGGTACATCATATGAAAGCTCATGCTTTACAAGCACGCATGGAATATGATATACCATATCCTTTTCTATGCCTTTTAATAAGTGGCGGTCATAGTCAATTGTGTTTTGTAAAATCTTCGGAAGAATTTCTGTTATTAGGTGAAAGTTTGGATGATGCTCCCGGTGAAGCATTTGATAAAATTGCTCGACGTTTACGGCTGTATATAAATCCCAAATATACTAAATGGAATGGTGGTCAAATTATAGAAGATGCTGCTAAATATGCCACTAATCCTGAAGCATTTGAATTTCCTCTACCCTTAGCTCGTATGCGAGATTGTAATTTCAGTTTTGCCGGTATTAAGAATAATTCATTTCGAGCGATAAAGCGTCAGGAGTTGAAGGAAGGTTAGTTATTTTGAATTTGCCAAAAATGTATGTACTAATTTTTTGGAATATTTTTTATTTCCCCATAATTAGCTTGTCCCGCAGATTCTGTCATAACAAATTATGCAGACTTTTGTGCGGGTCTTTTGAATGCTGTAAGTCGTCACTTAATGAATCGTACCCAAAGAGCTTTAGAGTTTTGTATAGAACGTAACTTTTTTGGCAGTGGGCCACGTTCACTAGTAGTATCGGGAGGTGTGGCCAACAATGATACAATCTACCATGATATTTCCCACTTAGCCGAGCAATTTGAGTGCAAAACTTATCGTCCCTCTAAAAAGTACTGTTCAGATAATGGTGTCATGATTGCCTGGAATGGTATAGAACAGGTTTTGAGAGACGAAAATTGTCTAAGATGGGATTACAATGACATAGACATACAAGGTAAAGCAGAACTAGGAGAGTCTTTAATAAATGAAGTAACGGCCGCCAGCATAAAATGTAAATGGGTACATCAAAACAGAAGTTGATAGTAATTAAGATATTAAAAAAAAAAATAATAATAAAATATGTGTATATTATGAATTACTTTAATTTTTCTTGTTGTTGTTGATTTTAAAATGTTTGTTATTTTAAACATAAAAGTTAGATACATTAATAAATATTATTAAATAATACATTCAGGGGATAAATAAAAATAAAAAATATGTATGTGAATGTGCTATAAATAAATTAAACTTAACGCTCGTAATAAACTCGATAGTATAGGGTTTTTGAACGCCATATACTGTAGCTATTGTCAAATTTCAATAGGTAGACACCTTCACCCGGATAGATGTGTGAGCCTACGTAGACCTCATTAAAACATTCTCGTCGATAAATCGGCACAATTATGGAAATTGGTGGCTTTATGGAGGAATTACTTGTCAAACTACTGCGATCATTTGCCAATGAGCCACATTCAAGATCCTCATTGGTGGACAAATAATCTTCATCTAAAAATTCATCATCATCATCGCTGTCGCTAACATGTACGGTAACTTCTTGTGTAACCGGTTTACTCCATTCAAAGTAAATACCAAAACCAATATCGTAATTATCAGTAGCAAATTCCCAGAATATAGATTTACCATTAATATTAGTGGGTACTCGTACCTTAAATTTTGTTGCAATAAAAATAAATTACTTTAGGTTTTTCTACAAAAAACATATAAACAACTTACTGTCACCGTATCGCCATGTCCTATAGTTATGACACCATCCCCGTCGCCAGCCGATACTTCAGCTTTAAATTCTTCTATATCCGGCCTTGTCCATATTTTAGCCGGTTGTATTAGTACGTAATCTTCATCATCGTCATTGTTAGGCAATTGCAATTGCAATTGTTGCTGTTCATCATAGTGTTGTTGCTGTTGATTATCTATAGATAATTTGGACAATTCTTTATTTAAATCATCTTCAGTGTTCCGTTGTTTCGCTATTGTGGTGGTGGAAACGTTGTTATCGTTACCTTCTCCAAAAGTGTTCGAAGTTGTATTATTATTTGTCAAATTTTCAGTGGGATTATTATGATTTTGCATGTGTAATTGCTGCATATATTGATGATAGTGTTCTTGTTGCAGCTGATGTATGAGAACAGCTTGTTGTTCTGGATTACCGGGAAATTGTTTTTCAGCATAGGTCTAAAAAATATAGTAGAAAATTTTGTATATATTAATCTAATAATAATAGAAATAGTATTAAGAAGTAAAATCCGGATCGGTCCCTAATTGACCATAGCTACTATATAACCACTTCCGAAAATCAGTTTAACATAATTCATTAACAAATAACCATATCGAGACAAAATTTAACACAAATATGTTGTGTATATACAAAAATTTGCATTTCGGATAGGCCCATAATTGATCATAGTTCCATAAGTCCACTTTTGAAAATCACTTAATAGTAACTAAGTCACGAATTAATTATGATATCGGAAACATATGCGCAAAACAATCTGTGAAAGATTTCCCCGATCGTCCTATCGGATAATTGGTCATATCTCCCATATAAAGACCTCTTCTCATAAGTCATTACTTAATTGTGATATTACATTGTACGACACTTTTTCCGGATTATTCCATTATTTGTAACTTTCAAAATTTATAAAATGTACATATATCTCTATAAATATTCGACTTGTCATAAAAAACCTTATAGGTGAAGGGTTTTTAAGATTCGGTATAGCCGAATATTTTTATTTTAAATTAAAATCAGTCTCTCTCTTCTTACCCAAGACAACATTTTACAAACAAATTAAATGTACTAGTAAAGGTATTTTCAGACTACAATACTGAGTATTAACACACTTCAAATTAAAAATATTATGAAAATAATTCGCATTTTCAAAACATCAATCCGAAAAATACATTTTATGTTTACACTATAACATTTGTAATATTTTTTATCCAATTTTCAATTATTTATGCACTTTTCGTTCTTATTTTTAATGTATTTTACACTTTTTGTTTGTTTTTTATTGTATTTATAAAATACATACCGAATACGTTTGAAAATAAAAAGTTTTTGAATTGTTTTAAAAAATTTATGAATACCGACCGTATGCCAAAAAAATCAGTAATATTTTTGAAAATCAAATTACAAATTATATTTAGGGCGGGTTTCTTACTACTCAGTTAAACTAGGCTTAACTTGCTGTTAGATTAAACTCGGAACAAATTTAGGCGGACTTTAATCGATGATTGTGTTTTTCAGTTATGGATTTATGTTCAGTTAACTTTGTTAGTATTGCCAACTTTTCACTCAAAAACATAAACAATGAACAGCTGTTTTTTGCAAATAATACTTTTGTAAAATGAAAAATTTTTGAAAATTGTTAAATAAACATTTAAAACAATAATAAATAAAACAAAACAAATCAGAATATTGCAATTTACTTAAAATATTAAGTTTTTGTTCTTCCGAAATCATTGTTTCATTGTTTTTGTTAATTGTGTCTTCTCACTTATAACTTAAGTTTAATTGGCCAATAACACTCAGTTAAACTAAGATAATAAGTAACGTTACTGTTTACTGAAAAACACAAAACATATATTAAACTAGGTTTAAACAAAGAATGTAGATTATCTTTATCTGAAAAACCCGCCCTTAGACTAGTAAATTGTATTATGATACAAATATTCTTGACAAGTATTAATACTCAGTATTGTAGTCTGAAAATACCTTTAGAAATAATTAATCAACAGAAAAAAAATACTTTATTGTCTGCTGACACTATTATTTATATTGACCCAAATAAAAAATGATTGATTTGTTGTTGTCTCTGTTGTTTTTTTTTTGTCCACCTACCTTGAACTGTTGATATGTTTGCTTGTTAAGCGCATCCTGTAGTTGACGTCTTTGCATTTCCTCCTTGTAACCCTCCTCTAATAATTCCTGTTGTTCTCGTTCCTTTTTCTCCTTTTCTAATTTTTCTTGTTCCATGCGTCTTAATTCTTCCTTTAAGGTTTCATCACGATTTTTTCTTACTGCCTCAACATAGGGACGAAAAGCACTACACATAGTGTCCAGCAAATCAATAAAACCCTCCATGGCCTGTTCACGGCTAATATTGCCCAGCATTTGCCAATGCAAACGTCGATCTTTCCCAATTACATCTAGTACACCCAAAGCGGGTGCATCTTTGGGGTCGAAAGGTCCACATGATGCCTGCTGTTTAAATGCAATTAATTTCAAATTATCCTCATATGAAAGATGTACAGCTTTTCCAGAATTTTCTGTTAATTCAAACGGGAAGAGTTAATTAAAATTAATAAAAGTTTTGCTGTTGTATAGAATATTTTTCGTTTTTTTTTGCCTACGTTTGTAAAATTGCAGAGCCATTCGGTAAAGTTCCTGCAATGGAAAACCCCATTTCTCCAACTCAGCTACATTTTTATCCATTATATTTTGTTGTTAATGCTGGTTTTCTTAAATATAAATGTGTTCTTTATTAGTAAAAATATAAAATACGTTTATCGAAAAATTATAAACAAATAGTGAAAGAATTTTTTCTTATCTACTGCCAAGACCTGCGTCGACAAAAATTAACAGTGGCAGACGACACTAAAATTTTCGCCGGCGGCTTAACTATGGTAGTAAGACGGCTACATTTTCAGAAGTTTGTTTTCAATTTTTTTTCAATTATGTATAACGTATGTAAGTGCGGATGTATATTTTATACTATAAAATAATTAATTTGAGACAAAGTTGTTGCAAATTAGATAAATTGCATTAAATATTAAGTTGATTTTATGCCAGAACAGGTGCATAGTACTTTAAGGATTTACTAGGGTGAACCATTATTCGAATTTTTCAAAAACCGGTATTAGAATATGTAATTGTTACATATCGTCACCTAAAGCACAAACGGCCCTATCTAACATTTTTAAAATTTTAAAAGAGAAGCAAAAACTATTTCAATTGAATATTTTGTTTCTATTTTATTTAATTTTATTAAATAAACAAATTGTTTAATAGTGAAACCTATCATTTGTTATGATAATTGATAACGGAGTTAATAAAAATGGATAAATTGGACCTTTTACCATTAATAATTAAATGTTTTTGTAGATTGGGCCTTTTGTTTTTATTAATAAAATCGCTAATTTCAGTCTAATGAGTCCAATTATTATTTTTGGATATTTGTTATCATGCAAAACATTAAAACTAACAATAAAAAAAGATTTTGAATTTTTGTTAGGTAGGTGACAATATATAATCGGGAAATTGAGATACCGGATTTTCTTCAAGAAGTAAAAGCCAAATTTGTAACGTAATTAAGTAATGTTTACAGAAATTAAGTATTAGTTGGTTTAATATGTGTAATTTAAGTAGTAAGTAAGTAAAGTAATTAAGTAAGTAATTAAGTAAGTAAGTAAGTAAGTAAGTAAGTAAGTAAGTAAGTAATTAAGTAAGTAAGTAAGTAAGTAACGTAAGTAAGTAAAGTAAGTAAGTAGTAAGTAAGTAAGTCGTAAGTAAGTAGTCCTTCGTCCGTCCGTAAGTCAGTCCGTCCGTCCGTCCGTCCTCCGTCCGTCCGTCGTCCGTCCGTCCCGTCCGTCGTCCGTCCGTCCGTCCGTCCGTCGTCCTCCGTCCGTCCGTCGTCCGTCCGTCCGTCCGTCCGTCCGTCCTTCCGTCCGTCCGTCCGTCCGTCGTCCGTCCGTCCGTCCGTCCGTCCGTCCGTGTCCTCCGTCGTCCGTCCGTCCGTCCGTCCGTCCGTCCGTAGTCGTCGTCGTCCGTCCGTCCGTCCGTCCGTCCGTCCGTCCGTCGTCCGTCCGTCCGTCCGTCCGTCCGTCCGTCCGTCCGTCCGTCCTTCGTCCGTCCGTCCGTCCGTCCGTCCGTCCGTCCGTCGTCCTCCGTCCGTCCGTCCTTCCGTCCGTCCGTCGTCCGTCGTCCGTCCGTCTCCGTCCGTCCGTCCGTCCGTCCGTCCGTCCGTCCGTCCTCCGTCCTCCGTCCGTCCGTCTCCGTCCGTCCCGTCGTCGTCCTCGTCCGTAATTCCGTCCTTCTCTCCTCCTTCCGTCCGTCCGTCCGTCCTTCTTCCTCTCCGTTTCCCGTCCGTCCTCTTCCCCCCTTCTATTTAAAGAAGAAGTACGTTACAATTGAAGTAGTAATTCTATTTAAGGTACTTTACAATGAAGTAGTCGTTTTAGAAGTCTATTGCAGCCATTGAAATTGCTGTTTAAATTCTATAAATTTTCGATCGATATCGTCGATGTTTGTCTTACGACTGGAGAAATATTTATTGTAGATAATACTAATATGTTAATACGAATTTGCATATTTTAAATTAATCTGCGTGTTTGAAGTTAAATTATTGTATGTGTACTTAAGGTATATTTTGTCCGTTTAGATTTCAGTTGCTGCTCATACCCAATAAATTTGCAAATAATACATAAAGAATTGTTATATTTTTTACCCATTACAGATAAAAGCAAATGTTTTATTTGGTTAAATATTTATTTTATATTATGCATAATTATGCGTTCGAATAACATGTAATGTATTTTTTGTTTTTGGGAATAACATACTTAGTTAATTTTTATTTCAAATACATGCACTTGTCACACCCACATTATTTGTCTACAAATTTGTGAGCAATTTTATGCATCTGATAAAACATATATAAATATTAATAGTTTGTGTTTTATTTGTAATCCAAAGGAATGTTGCTGATTTTGTTCATTCATTTAATAGAAAGATAAAGCCATTTTGGAAAGGTTTTGTAAATATAAATTTAGTGGTTGTTGTAACGCAATTGATCGTTCAAAATACAGACAAATTATAAAAATAAGGGTAATAGATAAAAAACAAATACTTTTAAGGGTACGATACGTGTCAAAATTTTGTTTGTAAAGAGATAAAGGTAATTATTATACTTATATTATTTATATATGATTAATTAAATTCAAAAATATTATTGGAGCATCATATATAATGGTTTATAATTTTATACTTGTAGCAATTTGATTTTAAAGAATTTAAGGTGAACGTATGATGGCTTCGTAGGCAGCAAAAATCATTGGTGCCACCTCTACTGAACGTGATTTCAAGCTAAGTGTGGCATCTGGATTGCCAGGCTGTAACTTCAATTCGAGCAGTACCCAGATGTTGTTGGTCAGCTTAAGAGATTGATAGAGCATATCCTGGCCTTCAACATTACGCTTAGCAATGGTGAAAACATTGTTGGTGGTCATTTTCGAGGCAATGCCATCGGTGGTGCCAACCACACCACTCAATGAATATTGAACTTCGTTAGCAGCTGGTATTTCCTTCCAGGTATTAAGGAACACACGTTTATCGAGCTGACCATCTTCGGCAAATAAGACATTGCCGTGTATCAAGCAGGCGAAATAGAAAATATCAATATTATTTTTGACTGCAACTTGAAGATTATTTAGAGGTTCCATACGCTGTACTGGACCATGGGTGGCTAGAGACAAACTGGCTTCTGTGGATTGATTGGGAGGTAAAGGTGCGACTTGCAAAGGTTGGCCGGGTACCAAACCGAAACTGTTCTTATTAAGCTGTATGGCAAAACCACTCATTGGTTGCATGGCTTTGTTGGTGAATTTCATATCCATGAACACTTCACCATTGCGGCGGGAGAAACTGCCTTGAATTTCCAAGCCTTTGCCCTTTTCAGCAGGTAGCCAAACAATTTTGGGAATTTGTAGACCAACATTGAGAGCTGCTCCGCCCAAACCAAAGATATCGCCCAATAAACTAGTTGCACCGCCGGTAGTAGCTTCAGCAGGAGGACCACCAAGCTGGAAGAGAAGATTGTTTTAATTATAAACGTAATTATAATAAAAAAACTTACCAAAATATCCAAACCACCACCCAACAGATCCACATTAGTGGGAGCGGCCGCTGGCATTGATGGTGTATTAATGTCCATTGACAATAAATCTCCAATAAGTGATTCTTGATTTGGTATAACCATAGCTTCACCACCAGCACTTGGGGCGGCACTGGCTTCACCATCTCCGGAGGCAGCAGCACGATTTGGCAAAGATTTACGTACACCAGCACCGCGTCCTTCTACAAAAGCAGTAGGTGGTTTGTGATAAACACTGGCCAAAGAACTAATGTGGCAAATCAATTCATCCAATAAAGTAGGCTCCAACAGATCAGTTTCTTCCGAAATTAAAGGTTTATCAGCCAAAACCACCTCCTTGGCAGCAGCTGGATCGGTAGACAACAAGCGCCAATAGATAAAACCACGATCACGTAAATCAGGATTGTCAGAGTCCTGGGTAGCCAATGAGAGAACATGTTGTACCAATTCCTGGGTATCCGAGGGACGTTTCAAGAAAAGTTTTACTACAGCGGTCAACAATTGCAATTGTACTTGGGCATTTTCATCTTGGAAACCTTCCAGGAAACTATCCAACAACTCATCGGCGTTATCAATGCGCTCAGCATATTCACCAATAATCCAAACCATTGAAGCTCTGGCTTCAGGTTCATCTAAAGTGTCGAGATTTTCACACAAAGTGCTGATAATACTTTCATATTTATTGGGATATTTGCGGAAGATATCCTTAATGACCACAATAGCTTCTTGTACCACATAGTTGACTTTGGTTTGAATCAATTCGAGTAAAGTAGAAACACAACGTTCAGCAGAAGTTTCCACCTATTTTAATAAAAACAATAAAAATAAAGTTAATAGGTAGAAATATTTTATATTTGTATAACCCACCTTAATAGCACAACGACCAATGGCACGCACTGCTTTGCGCACGAAATCTACATCTACCTCGGTGGCATATTCTTTCAATTCACTCAAAACTTGAGCAATGTTACTCTGATTAGCCAAACGTATCATAATGTCAAGTTTTTCCAATTTCACATAAATGGGATCGTTGTATTTGACAAAGAACACTTTCATTTCATGTTTAAGAATATCGGGACGTTTTTGCACAATCAAATTAATGTTACGCAAAGCCACATATTGGACTTCAGGTTCCGACGACAATAAAGTAACCAAAGGAGGTGCCAATTTTTTGGTGAGAGTTGCACAAAAGTCACCATCATTGGACAACATTTCCAAGAGTTTCATCAAGACCTTTACAGCACTTAGTACCACAGCAGCATTGGCATGAGCCAAACGTGGTGTAATACGTTCACAAATCGATTGGGCTTCACGTTCGTCCTTAGGACTATAGTTAGCCAAGGAGTCCAGAATGAATACCTGACCCCATTCGGTACATTCATTGAGAGCTGTAAGCAGTTTGTTAATGGTGGCCGAATTCATTTCCACTAAAGGTTGGCCCGATTGGCTGGATTCATTAATTTCACTTAAAGCAGCTACAGCATTGGCTACTACCATAGGGTTGGAGTCGGATAACAAATCCTTAAGTTGATCAAGAAAACCTTGATCTTCAACCATTGAGGCTGAGATGTCATACAACTTGGCTACACAAACAGCGGCAGTCTTGCGTACATAGGGATCCTCATCCTTGAGACATTTGCGCAGCGGTTCGCATAAATATTCAGTAATTTTATCCACACGTATACAGCCCATAGTACGAACAGCTAAAGCTCTAATTAAAGGATTGGAATCTTCACAATCCTTAACAAATGTATTGACTGCCATGATGGCAGCATCCGGCTGTGACTTGGCATAGTTCATCAAGTATAAATATACCAACTTTTTTAATTCGAGATTATCGGTTTGCATGCAATTTACCACATCGGGAAAAAGCACAGATACATCTTTGCCCACAGTCATACTGGCAATAACCTAAAATGTAATTTAATTAAATTAATCTAAATACTGTAGTAAGTGTGTGATAAACTAAATGCATATTATAAACACACAAACAATTGCTCAAGTATGCATATAAATTTAAAGTACTTGCCTTCTTGACAGCTTCCTTCTTTTTTTCTTTCTTATCATTGTTCAATTCAGATTTGAGTTCGAAAATTTCACCTTTTTTGGTGGTAGAAAAATATTTGGAATCGGTCATTTTCCTATATATTTATATCTAGAAAATAAAGATTTATTGGAAATTATGTTAGCGTTCAATTATTAGTATAGAAAAAAGATTTTTTAATATCAAAAATGCCAGCGCAGTTTACGAATAATTTTTTTCCGGGGCGTATACATTCAATCAATTTTTTCACATCTAATTGTGAAAATGTTCAAACAGTTTTTACTCGAATAATTTTCTATATTTTATGTTTTTCTTAACAATAATTTGGAAATGGCTTGATAAATTTAAATATTTTATATACTTTATTCAAATTTTACCTTATTTTATTGTTAAAATTACAAATTTTCTTTTAGCTGACGAATAACTTTTCACTTGTTTTTTCATATAATAAAAAAATCCGATATGTCAATACACAGTTGTACAAATTTAGTACTTAATCAATTTTAGGAAGTGTTTGTAAATAATAATTTTCATTGGCAGGGGTTGAGGATAACTACATGTTTAAAATTAACGGAATTTAAACGGAAATCGTAATAAAAAAATAGATATTTTACGTTTATACAAAGAAAGAAAAATAAACAAAAGGCGTTGTATCCAATATGTTAACATTTTACTATTTTGAGTTTAATTAAAAGCTTTAACTTATAACCTTTATTCGTTTCTAGCCAAATTTCAGCCAAGTATTCCTGAATTTTCAGTTAAGACACTACATGAATTTACGTCGGAATGGAGAAAATCTCTGAGGGAAATGACTTAACTGACGAACAAAAATACGTGACAGTGTTATACGATAAAATTTTATTTCAGTTCATATGTATTTTGCAAAAATTTCGACAAAATAATTGGGTTAGAGGACTATGGCGATGAAAATTAAACATTGAGAATAGCTACCAGTGTAATGTTTTTTGGTTCAAGGAATAGGTGAACAAATAGCCTATTTGTTCATAATGTAATTATCAAGTAATAAAAATATATATATTGGGTGTTATTGTAAGTACTGCTCTTAAACCTATTCATATTATCAAGGAAGTAATTTTATTTAATATTCGCCAGAAAATAGCGTACTAGGAATTGTTTAGTTAATTCTATAAATAATGTATATTTTGAAGACTATAGGGTAAGTCGAAAAGTTATAGAATATTTTTATAATATTGATTCGAATTTAGGTGTGCTCCTAAAATAACCGATATACACATAAAGCCCAATAGAATTCATAGTATTATAGTAAGATACTCAAGTTTTTAACAAGGCAGTGGTTTCTGCAATTAATACTTTAAATTCTACCGTTTTTGTAGTAGATTGCTCAAAGGCACTAACTATGCCTAAAACATTCCAATATCTTCTATATTATAGTTATCTATTTGATATGCAAAATCTCTCGAATATGTATCAACTAAATACTGACAAATGCGGATTAAATTAAAGTGAGAAATTGCAAAATCCACGGTGAGTCATCTCAGACAATATTAAATTCCTCCTGTTTTGCACATGAGACTACTTTATCCAACCTTTATAATGAATTGTTTTGAAAATATTTCTTTTGACGATAATTTAGATGCGTAAATTTTTATGCGTAAAAAATGTCAATCTCTACATAAATGCTTGTCCTCATTACCAAGATTTGATGAACTTTATCGCTTCGATAAATGTATGTACATTTACTCAAGAGAAAGAGTTTGTTAGACCACCACAATATTTTATTTTATATAAAGGGACTGAGTAAAGAATTCATGCAGCATTTCGACCAATGCCGCCATATAAAAGGCATATCAAAATACTTCTATACACATCTTATACAAGTTCCTCAAATAAATGCTGTGGGAATAAGGATATCGAAAACTTTTTATATGTACATGTTTATAGGGACAATGATGGATCTTTTTCCTAAAATTTTTCAAATTTTTCCTAAAATTCCAAATTTGAAACATGAAGAAGTAAAATTATAACGTATTTTACTTGTCCATTCTATTTTGTTCAACCGATGTCTGAAATTTTTCTGATTTATTGAAAAATACATTATTTGATACTCGTTTCGACGTTTTCATGCGCGTCATATGTATCTATGATGCATTTCCGTACGTATTGCGCATTAGATGCAGGGCAGTGATGTATGTATTTCCGAAAATGCTCAGACTTGATCAATAACTGACTGTCATTTCGAATATTTACAAAAAAGTCAACCGTACTTTTCACCACCTACAAAATAAATGTCAAAAACTTAAGACATAGAAGAGAGAGAAATTTTATTGTTGTAAAAAATGTCACAGAGTAATTACATATATTCTTTTGTTTAACAAATGATATTAATTTAAATACTGGAAATTATCGGGACGATTTTAATCATTCATCTTCAAGATTTAATAATAGGTTGGCGTCGTGGTATTGAAAATACCTGCCGGGTAAGCCACACTTCAACGAACTTTTGGATATTCTTCGGTCAGTAGGATTGGACGGCCCAACTTCTGCCAATACTTATATGAAAATAAATAATAGTATAACAAGGGTTGTGAAGTTTTATTAATTGGTACATAACCTAGAAAAATATAGACCTCAAATGAATTCCATATAAATTTGATTGATCATATGTGACAGTTCAGCCCAAGTATTTTTATGTAAAATTGCACAATGTATTTTGTAGATGTTGCAAATGCAATTAGGTAGCACTCCCCATAGGTCCTCCATCTTTGAATAAAGACTTTTTAACCAAGTAAGACTCTTACAGCCACCATATAGAAATCGCAATTGAATCCATTCTTCGAGGGATCTATAACGAGGATAATTATTATAATTTTGAATGTAAGAGGAGAAATTACCTTCACGAAAACAACCAGCAAAATTTCTATTTCATGAATCTCTCAATTTGAAGAAAAATCAATTTGTAACATTGCAATAATTTAGATATTTGCCTTTTACCAGTCTGCCTACGAGGAATTTTTCGAAACTTGGCAACAATCTTATACCAAAGACATAGAAACAGTGGAAACCAAAGAATAAACAAGAAGTGAAACGCTGTCATTTTTTTACAACAATAACATTACGCTCTTCTCACAGACGAGTGCTGTGTAAATCCCACACATATGTAAAAATTTTATTTTCTCTCAAAACTTCAAAACTTTTTCGCGAAAATTTGAGGATAATAGATAGCACTTTGAAATATTTTATATCACTTAACATTATATTTTATAATTTTTTTGCACAATTTAAACACATTTAATAGCCCGAAAATAATATATTTTTCACAAACGAAAAAGAAATATTTTTTGTTTTTTGACATTGAATTTTTGTTGTTTGAAATTAAAACTAAAAAAACAATGTTGTAAATTTTCGTATGGTAAACGAAAAAGATATTTCAAATAAATAATTTATTTTTTCAATATTATAGAATAATAAACAAATAGACGTGTTTATAAAATGTTTATAGATAAAATATGTGCAAAATATCTTAAGAAACCTTTCAAAGTATAAATTGAAATGTAATAATTTTTTTTTCAATATTTTTCAATACTATTTTTTGCAACTATGTTGACTTGAGAATTCTACTAATACATTCTTAGAGTTAGGTACCGGATGACAGTAGACTTAGGTACTTTTGACAACAGTTTCATTTCTTATTTATTCTGAATTTGTATAACTGTTACTGGTTTTAGAACTTCTATATATAAGACCAGAAATATTTCAATTAATAGTATTTTGAAATGTAATATGAAAACTCGTGTCTATATTATTATTTTTATCTTAAACATTTTAAAGTTTTAAATAAAGAAATACGTGACAATAGAGTGATTCAGATTTGTTTCTATAATGAATTTCTAATATTGGAAGTGTATGTATGTGGCGAAAGATTTTTTAAATTTTAGGATCAAATCACAAGGCAACACAGACTAAAGCTGTGTACGTTGTTAGATCATACAATATTGTCAAATCTGACAAATTGTTAGCAACAGGTAAATTGTCAGTTCAGTCAATAGTAAGAAAACCTTACAGACAATTGTCAGACAATAAATTTAGCTGCTAACAAAAATTGTCAGTTCACAGTGTCAGATGACAATGGTGCTATTGTCAGAGAGAACAAATAGTCAAATTCGTACATTTGACAATAAAAATTGTCAGAGCATTATGTTACATTGATCTGACAATGTAATGTGTTTACACGATTGTCAGATGTCTGACAATATTATTGTTTTACAATGTACTGATTATAGTTTTTCTGACAACGTTGTAAGACAAATTATAAGTTCATACGTTGTTAGACATTTTCTGAATATTTTTCTGCCAACATTGAAAGATGTGACAACTATGTAAATATAACTTAATACATTCTTAACTCAGTGACCTAAGAATACGAAGATATAACATAAAAAATTTGAAATTGAAAATTTTATTAGCCTGGTTAATTGGAAAATATTTTAAGAAGAGAAATTTCTAGAAATAATGTTTTGAATACCCCCCTAATCATAATATTTTCATAATCTTTCTTCTTGACAAATACACTTTCAAATGTTCTTGACTAAAAAATCGTATAAATAATCGTGAAACTTAAAGGCAAAGTAGATTAATTTTATTTTCTTTAAAATGCAATTCACTACTTTTTGTATCATTTTGTTATCGGGTTTATTCCTCATTATGAGTGCCATGGGAGACGAGGAACCTAACTGTTTGAAATTTTGTCCTGATATTTACTTACCAGTCTGTGGCACCGTTAAAAATTTCCGTGGCGAATATTTGAAATGTACTTTCGCAAGTGAATGTATATTAAAAATGTTTACGTGTAGAACAAAACAAGGTAAGTTTTTTTTTAATTTAATAATTTAAATATTTTTTAATTAATTTTTGGTAATAAAGCATTGATTAAAGAGGATGGACAATGTAGTGAAGAGTTTTCAGAATGTTACGACCTATTTGAATAATTATACGATTTATCTGAATTAAAACAATTAAAACAACATTTTTAATTTAATCATATTTTAACAAACAAATGTTTATCAATCAATTTTTATTATTTCTTTGTTAATATCATGTTAAAGTAATTCAATTTATTTTTATATAAAAACCAATGAAAACAATATTTATAATAATAATAATATAGTACATAGTAAAATGTTTAAATAACAATTTAATAAATTTTAAAAGATTTTATTTATTTACGTTTTATTTTGTTTACAATAAATAAATTATTAATAACTATTTAAATATATAGTAATGTGAGTAAGTAGGTACACATATGTAGTTTTAGAATTTATAAAAAAAATTAGTATTTCAAAAATATTTAATTTAAAATAATAAAAATTGCTTTATTATTTATGTATTTAAAAAAGAGTGACATTAAAAATTTATACATTGTTAATATATATAAACAATTAAAATTTGTTTGTATGAATTATAGCTTTATATTAAACTAAATCAAAATCCTGACAAATTTTTATAAAAAATACATATATTATTGGAAATGAAATAAAATTTTGCAAAAAATTAAAAAGTTAAATTTAATGTGAAAAAATTCAGTCTTTTAAAAATAATTTTAAAACTTAGGTAGTTTGTATGTAGTAGATAACATCGGTTTTATTTGCAATCAGTAGTTTTATTTCTGTTATTTTAGTGAATTACATTTTTATGTCAAAAATCCTTAGGGCCTTATTCATAACAAAAAAAACAGCTGGTAACCTTTCTAGCTGGAAGTTAGCAGCATGATTTTTTATTACGAAAAAGTCCCTTAATATTATTGATTCCTTCATTAGTTACTTTTTTATTATTAATATTTTACAAATTCAGCAATGTTTTTTTTAAATATTTATTTCATTTATGTTAATTTATCAAGTACACAGAGTTGTATTTCTAAAAAGTTTAGTAATTTCTTGTATCTGTTAGTTTCTATATTTATTTCTTAAGGTGGTTTCGTAATGTGCTTTTATTAATTAATTATGTTTTCATTTAATATGTTTGTTGACTGTTATTCTTAAGGTGGAAGTTTTTTTTTTTAATATTAATCTTTAATATTTTTATTATTTTTAATATGGTTATCTAAAATATTGCCCATTTTTTTGGTTTGAGAGATATGTTCATTGCCTGTTTTTTCAGTATTTTATTGAAAAAATTTAAGTAATTAATTACGCCGAGTAAATTTTATTTATTATAAAAAGGTTAATAAAAATGTCAGGATTTAATAGTGTTATTAAATTATAAAAAAATAAACTATATAAACAATTAAATTTTATATACAAAAACTAAACAACTATAATAAAACTAAATTAATATTTATTTAAAAAGGATAATTTTTTTATATTATTTTTGTAATTTTGAGTAATTATCGAGTACATTTAACTCAAAATTTGTTTAAAAGTTTTCTCAAAATAAGACACATTTAATGGAAATCAGAAATATTTTGAAAAAGTTCAAATTTGTTGAAATATCCAAGGATATTAAGTAGGGTGTTTTCTTAAGCCCGATAGAACGATGGAATAGATCATAAACTATATATGGCGGTGCCTCATGTCCCTACTGTTAACTTAAGCTGGAGGTCCACACCACGAGTTCTACGCTTCTTCGCATTCTACGCGGCTGTCAAAAAAGAAGAATCAATGTTGTTGTGTTCTAGAAGTTACCAGCACAAAAACGTAGGATGCCTTGACGCGTAGAATGCTTAAAGTAGATCTACTTTCTACTTTTGTAAGCGTCATAAGCGGCACACGAATATATCAGCTGATTTTGACAATTTATATTTCTTTTTTAATGTGTATTTATCAATTTTAATAAACTAAAACGAGTTTAACTGTGAAAATATAAATAAAAAACGCGAAGTTATTTGTAAATAAAGCAAATATGTTACGCTTAAGAAGCGTAGCATGTAACTAGTTTGGACCTCTAGCTTTATTCTTCACTAAGCTTCCGATAACTTCATAAGTATCCAAATATTTTGAGAGTTACTTCTGACAGCGACCTCAAAGTAATAGCTGCTAGAACTCGGGATATTGATAAAGAAACATACCCATAAAACGATTGGCCGGTCGGTAGTTAATTATGCTGCCCCAATGTGAGCAAAAGTCAACTTCGCTTCTTGACAACCAGTGGAGATATAAAGCCAAAATTCTGCTTTAAGGACTGTTAGGGGTTCAGAACACCATCTATATGGGGACACGAAGGTCCTCCTAGTCAAAGCAGTCGCCGGAATAGCCATTCCAACTTTAATATCACAAAAACAGGAAGATAGTTAATGTATACGACGAGAATGTATAAAGTTATATGCAGGATCCATTAGATCGTACCTCTTATACGGCAGCTTTTAACAATATTTACAGAGATGCCATCAGTGCGACTGCGGAAGCTTACCACATGTCGTACTTGTAGAAAGTCCACCGCCTATAGCAGAAACATCTGACACAGCTAAGGTTGGGTCATAATTTTGGGCCGATTTTACTCAAATTTTCTTTGGGACATATTGTGCTCTCGTTTTCATGAAAAATATTGGTGGTAAAACCTTCTTAGTGATCTATGCTAGGAATTATTGCTCAATGTTAAGAAACTCAGTTTTTTGGTCATAGTTCTTTCAATTCTTAAGTCAGTCTTTCTGGGTGTTGAAATATCAGAAGTAGCATCGATCCCAAGATAATTGGAGATTGTGTTAAAGCATTTCACTGTCCTCTTCACATGCTACTTTCGCCTGAATACGTTGGTCAAATTTTTTATAGTTGTATCTGCAAGATTGTAGGTTAACTAAGATCCATCCTCGGTTTTATTTATTCTTAGGAGGCTTCTGTGAGTGTGGTTTCGTATCCTATATATGTTTCGAATGAGAGAATATCCAGTAGTATAGTGATCTTGCCACACTTATAGCAAGATTTATGGTATTACATTTTTCGTCCAAAGGACGAAATAACACAGACCAAGTTATACTTTTCTAAAGGATAGAGCCGCGCTGAATCCGATTCTGATTTTCTCAAACACATCTGAGATTGGAGATATCATGTCCGAAAGTTTGATATCAAGCCGATAAATTTTTAATCCAGAGACCAAAGAATACTTTTCTAATGGATTGAGCGGCACTGAATACGAGTTGATTATCCTCAGGTAGTTTTTGATCCAATATTTTCGTTATAAACAATATTTACGAAGCATAATACCCTCCGAACTATATATAGGCTCAATCTTTTAGAAAAGTATTCTTTGGTCTCTGGCTTAAACATTTGTCGGCCTGTGTAATTCTATTAGAAATGCTTTCGAAATGTTTGCAATTTAAAATCAGCAAAATAGATCTATTAATAACGGAAATATGAGCAGTTGTCACAGTTAACGGTTAAAATCATGGATGGAAATAATTTATGAATGAAATTTTTTTGAAAAATTAAAAGTTTAAAATGTAAATTAAAAAAAGTTTCATTAAAAATATAATAAACAAATTAATAAAATTAAAATGTCTTTATATTATCACCCTTATATGTGAGACAAAAAATTAATAAAATGTCAAATATTTTAACAATTATTTGGTTATGGTATATTTTCTATGGTTTTGACATAATAATAATTAAAAAAAATATATTAATTATTATTACTATTTTTTAACTTTTTTTCTTATTTGGTTTGTTTTCTTTGGTATAAGTTGCTTAAGTTTTATTAATTCCATTTTGTTTTTTTTTTTCAATTTGTTAATTTAGCATAAAATAGTTTTGTTTGTAATTTCTTTTAATATAAATTTTATTATGTAAAATATTTATTTTTGTTTTGGTTTAATTTTAATTAAATTTTGTATAATAAATAACAGCAAATGGTTAAAGTTTTCTTTGGTTTATTTGTTTAAAATTTAATACATAGAAAAAATATACAAATAGTTTTTATAATAAAAAGTAGAAGAAAAAAAACTTAAATATTAGTTGTTATTTTAATATTAGTTTATACTTAATAAATATATATATATATTTGAAAAAAATTTACAGTTAGACATGACTAAATAAAATGTTTAAGAAAATAAAATTAATAACTTTTTATATACAAATATATAGGAAATGTTCACAGTTTGCTCTAAAATTGAAAACAATAATTTTTTAAATGATTTAAACATAGTGATAAAACAGTGACTAACAAAATTGTGTAACCACTATTTTTATAAAAATTTTATTTGACAATTTTTTTTTTAAATTTGAACAAACTGTGAGTATTCCAGTTATTTGTGCTGCATTTTGCAATTTGTTTAGTTTTGTTGTTGTTTTAATATTTTACAATTCTTTTAAAAATTTAATGAATAAATGTTAATATTTATATGTATTTCTTTTTTGTTAATATTTTGCATGTAAGAACGTATAATAATAATCATAATTATAAGAATATAATAACTTTAACAAATGGTAAGATGTTTGATTTATTAATAATTTTTTTTGGTTTAATTTTTTTATATTTTTTATAATAAGAAGTTAGAAGAAAAAAATTTTAATCGCTTTATTTTGTTATGCGTATTTTGTTGTATATATATATATAATTTTTATATTTTTTTATTTATAATATAATATTAAATTTGTTTTCAACATTTTCTTTTTAAACAATATGTTTTTTAGTAGAATTCTTTTTTTTCGTATTTTACAGTCCCCATTATAATTTAATTATAATACATTTAAACTAGTTGTTATTTACTAATATTTTGTTATTTTTTTGTAAACTTTAGTTTATTTAAATAGTGTTTAAGAAATTCTTTAAATGGAAATTCTTTATTAAAAATTAAAAAAAAATTAAAGATTTTTGCAAAATTCTTTAATTATTTTGAAAATTTTAAGAATTGAATATCTACCATCTACATTACTGGCTGGCAGTAAAGTGACTAGGGTCTCCGCTCTCGTTTCCAATAGAAATACGTGACGTAAGACGAATTAGAGCCATCAGGTTCGGATTAAAACTTATCACCAGTTAGTTACTTTTAGACCCGATAACATAAACTTAAACTTGGGCGTTTCAAGTGCCCACTGCACAGTGAGACATTTGGCCTTTTAGAACGACAAAAATAAAAAAATAAACGCTTTCCAATTGTCTTGCTTGTTATTATGGTTAACAGTAAACATTCCATATACTATAGAAAACTAACTAAAAATATTGCAGAGTTCCTTTAACCCGAAATATAGGTGCTCAAAGTTGCTCCTCTTAAAAATAAAATAATTTTCTTGTAATATTCCTGAAGCGGCATATTAATTTTGAATGCGTATATCTGGGTAAATATTTCAGATAATTATATAGTTTCTTCAGTGTATTATAATGTAATACTTCGGAATTATTCTGCAATGATTTTTTAGACAAAAGTACAATTTTAAAGGTTTTATTTTTAACTCTAAGAAAAAATACTATTAATAATAAAAATATATTTCAAAATTAAATTTTTAATGGAATAGATCTAATGACTGCAGCCAATTGCAGTTATCTAATTAAAACCCTTGCATAGGAAAATTTCTATAGAGACATATATATGAAAATTGGCTGCGACCTTTTGCGATCTTCAGAGATATTCAAAAAAATTAGAGTGTCCTATAGGATTTAATATGTTTTTTAAAATTATGTGTAAGCTCACGTTAGGGGAATACATAAATTTTTGGCTTTGGCACCATGTATTAACTCACAATTACTGCTTTTAAAAAACAATTACTTAAGCCAATCAGGGGTCACAGCTTTATTTAAAAAGTGATATTTTCTGTTTATTTCCAGTGTTAAATTCATTGATTATAAATTAATTTTTTTCTTTGTAACAACCGCGGAATTTACATATTATTTTAAATTTTAATAATAGTATAAATCTTTTGTTAATGTTCTATTCAATTATATGCAAATATTTGTACAATTTGAGAAAAATTTCTAAAAGTGACAACACTAATATTTATTAGGGATGTTATATAAAGCATGTTTGTAAAAATTATAGAAGAGCATGCACTAAACCTGCAATGCAGAGCATTTGAGACAAATCGGATAATACCAACCCGTTTCAAACAGTATATAAACGTTGAAAATGTGATTAAATAGGAAAATGAGTTTTATTAACTTTTTGCAGAGACTGTGCAACAAATATTTAAATCTGTATAAAATTGTCTTTCTAAAAATATATAAAAATTCAAAATCGATAGCAAAAGTTTTGAGATATATGCGACCAAAAATTAAATTTTTATTCAATATATACTTGTAAAAAATGGGCGTGGCAGCAGTCTTATCGTGCTGATTATTATGTGGAGCGTTTAGGCAATTGTTTCCTAACTGTAACTAAAATTAGAACTCAATATCACTAAGATTTGATTAATGTCTTTCTAAAAGTGCCAAATGTCTCACTGTGCGATGGTTGCGTAGGTGTATTTCTTCGGTTTTGATGTACAACTAGCTAATAGCCTAAAATATGGATTTGTTAATATTCTAGTCTGTTAGATCGGAGATCGTAGGTTTAATTCCCACCTGAGACAATGGTAAGGGAGCGCACAACAGGTCCGATGGTGGCCTAGGTGTATTTCATCGGATTTGGTGTACAACTAGCCAATAGCCTAGACCATGGATTTGTCAATAAAGTAGACCCTGGATTAGTCAGTAGACTAATTGGTAGACTAGGTTAGTGTTCTAGTCTGTTACACCGGACGTCGTAGGTTCAATTCCCACCTGAGACACTGGTAAGGGAGCGCACAATAGGCCCGATGGTGGCCTAGGTGTATTTCATCCGACTTGATGTACAATTAGCCAATAGCCTAGACCATGGATTTGTCGATAGAGTAGACCCTGGATTAGTCAAAAAAAAGTACTACTTATTATGGTTAAAGTTTGTACTGATTCGAAACCCGGGCTGCACACTGTTATAGAGTGCGGATTTCATATTTCCAACTTATAGCTTCACAATGTATGTGAGCATCCATTAAAATGGGGCAACATCGCTGAGATTCTTAAGCTAGAAGGGCACATAACTATGCAGTTTACTCCTCGGATCATTACAAGATGCATTTCAGAGATCAGACAATTTCATCTTCTAACAAATTAAAATTAAGCATAATGAAGAAATTTTCACTAGGATCACAGACTGTTTTTGCAAATGCAACCTGAACAGCATTGGCTTTTACCAGGATGATTTTTGCTATATAATGGAACGTTACTGAACAACTCGCAAACAATTTTTAAATGCCACTAAAACGTTCGGTTTACGAAAGTCCGAGTTTTTTTTGCACAGTAAACAATCAATTGAATCTAAGAGATTACTGTAATACTTATATTCCTCATTTGAATTGATCTCATAGAGTTCCTTTGAAGCAAGGGTTCGAAACAAAAGAAGAAATCTTGAGTTTTATAATTCGTTATAAAAATTCAACATTTTTTTTTTTTAACTTTTCCAGTTAAAGAATTTAATAACACTTTGCTCTGGGGGACTTAATATAGACATAACTTTAAGTCATAATTTTAATGTATATTAAAAATTTTATATAATATATAACTATTAAATTTATTCTTTTTTTGTTTTTGTTTAAATTTGTATAATTTTGAGTCAATTGAAAAATTACTAATTTTGCGTTTTTTTTTCTGCGAATTTCTTGTAATTCTCTATAAGTATGTATGTACGCATTTTTTTGGTTTTTTAATTATTAATAAATAATATGTAGTACATACCCATTTATATATTTTATGTATGTGTATATATATAGATAATATTTAAATAATATTATATGTTTTTAAGTGTATGTATATATTCTATATATAAATATGTATAAATAAATAAATAAAGACTAATTACGATTATTTACATATTAGCTTTTAGTTAGAAAATAAATTTTATTTCTCAGAGAAAACATTTTCATAAAGCACAACTTGGAATGCTACACTTAGTTGCAGTTAACAAAAATTTTGTAGCAGCAACCATAAATCATGTAAAGTGCTTATAATAAGTCTGGTTTTCTCTGAGTTTAATTCATTATTTGTTTTGAACTGATTTTTTTTTTAAACTAAAAAATTAAAATATTGTTATTTCCAATGAAATTTGTTAGTATGTAATCAGTAGTGTAAATATGTATGTAAATCTAAGCATTGCTCTCACATTTGCGTTTTGTTTAGTTAGTTGGTTTGTTTGTTTGTATGGGGTTCCACTCCAAACTGTGTTATAAACTAAAATCTTATAAACTATTTAAATTTATCATCTGTTTTAATCGTCCCACGTTGGAAATTGTGTTTCATCGATAAACATACTAAATGTTCCCGTATTTCCGCTGGTTTGACCAATTGCAGGATTTCTTGCACTTGTTGTATTGTGTGTATTCGTGGAATTGGAGTTATCTTGTGGTTTGTTGGAATGATTGGCGCGAGGTTCTGTAAGGAAAATTAAAGGAAAATAGTTATTAGAACGTGAAATTGAACTGTTCTCACATTCTCGATGTTATTTAGAATTTGGCCATGAAGTTGGCGTTGCTATAATCCACCTAAAAACTTTAAAATCCATAACTCTTGAAAGCTACCAAGTTCACTACTTTATAAATAGTAAATGGAATTATGTATGTTAAAAATCACGAATGTCTGATGATATTTGATAGTTGAACAAAAAGGCGTTTAGCGGTGTGCGCGGTGTTTTCCAGTATTAGAAAATTTTTGATTTGGAATTGAGTACTGGACATCTTTTTGTGGCAAACATAAATAAGCTGCTGGATAAAACGATTATTAGTACTACCTATATTGAACTAATCAGAGGTTAAAATGTCTCCAAAGACTGTTGCTTCTCTGGTCACTTCTACTTGGACTTGACATTGTAATCCAGGTAAAGGTTTCTAAACTATTTCTAAATAGAAGAAAGACAAATTGGGAGACGCACAAAATGTCTCTGAGCACCATTCTTCCCTCTGATCAGCGATTATAGTGTAGGAGTGATATATGTAGATTTAGCTACAAACTGGATTGCAAGTTCTCTTAGTGTTGCCAAGTAGAGAGCTTATAATCCGCCAAAGTCTTGAACAAGGATAAACCTTCTCCTATTAGACGAATATGTTATGCCTAAGATATCAATAAACTGGTCTCTTTATAAGTCGAATGTTAATTTATTAAGAACTCTGTGCGAAATGCTTTCTTCTGTCCCTAGAAACATACAGAAAGTGGACTGCAGTTGGACCAGAGGTAATCACGAGACCTTAGAGCTTCTCCTGAACACTTACTTTCGCGGTTCAACAAACTTTTCCGATAGATGACGACATCATTCGCCGGGCTTTGACCTTTCCCGATGGTATCATTCCTGCATATCCTTAATACATGAAGATCTCGTTCCATTGCTACGTAATATATACAAAAACCTTCCTCTCTGCAATGTGATTTTTATTCCTAAAGGGGGGTAAAACTTCTCATACCAAATATCTACATAAGGACCTCGATCGAGAAATTCTTTGTATCCACCTCTCAACATGAATATACAAAGGGAAAGTCCACTAATGAGACTAGATAGGTCTATTGGGGTCTCTTCCTCTGAAGTAATAAAGCATTTGAACGCAAAATATTTGGGCGGGGCTGGTTTCCGTACATCTGTCACATATACCCCAGTTAAATGTCAGTATGCAAGAGTAATATTTATACCCAAACCAGGGAAACATAGCTATGCGACACCTAAGTCCTAACGACCGATAAGTCTTACATCCTCCTTTCTTAAAACCTTGGAACGGATACTCGATAGTATGGTTAAAAGCAGTATACCAGACAAAGACCTTAAATAAAAAGCAGCATGCCTATGTAAATGGACGATCGGTGGAAACAGCTTTAAACGAAGTTATCCACTAAATAGGTGAATACTTCGAAAGCAAACTGTATACACTGGCGGTATGCATTGACATCGAAGGTGCCTTCAATAACGTGCACACTGATACTCTTATCCAATCCTTAGACCAGGTTTATGTTGACCGGTTAATCCGTAACTGCTAAGGAACAGATGGATAAACTGCGAGATGTACGTTATAACTATCAGGAAAGAGGAATTTCGCTGTATACCACACGGTGGTATTTTTTACCTTTACTCAGGGTTACCTCGATTAATAGCCTCCTAAGGACCTAATCGAGAAAGGACTTAGACATGTCGTATTACTTTTAAAGGTAAAGGATCCATATTACTTGTGTAGAAGAGCTGAGGAGGCTCTAAATACGGTCTTGAGCTGGGCTCAACCGAGAGGCCTCAATGTCTTTTCACAGGAAAAGAAAAAATTTCTATGTATTCTGAACCCTGCTTTCTGGGCTTACCGGTGACAGACAAAGTTAAGTACTTAGGTGTAATCCTTGACCGGAAATATAGACACTACATAGAGGATAGGATCAACAACAACTATAGGCATGAAATGGGGCCTTAGTCCTACTATGACAAATTGGCTTTATAAAAGTGTAATTCGACCAATTCTAGCTTATGCTTCAATAATCTGGTGGACTGCTTTGGTCAAAAAGTGTAATATCAAACTACTATAGGGAGTTCAGCGTGCATGCTGCTTGGGTATAAGTGGTGCCATGTGTACTACTTCAACCAAGGCTCTGGACACGTTGCTAGATATTAGACCCGTTGAAAAATATTTAAGATATGAGGCGGCGCTTACAGCTGAACAGCTCTTTACTTTAGGCGAACTGGCCAAAAGCGGTCATCAATGTATACTGAACATATTGGAAGGTTATACACAACCATCGGACGTGCCTGATCTCATACGAGACACAGAATATGTCGGAAACTTTGAAACGCTGATCCCAGATATAATGTCTTGGTCCGTTGTTGCACGGATGGCTCTAAATTGAGGGACAAAATGGCTATGGGATTCAATATTGAAGACCCAGAAACAGAAATTTACCACCGTCTACCTAATAATAATGCAAGCTTCCAGGCAGAAGTCCGAGCAATAACGGAATGTGTAAATTGGATTAGAATAAATATGGCGTCGACAGGGCTAAATATATTTTCCGACAGACAGAAGGAAGATAGGGCGATATCAGGTGATAGAATTAAATCTAAGACCGTATTGGATTATAAGAAGCTTTAACTGAATACTCTCCCAGAAGTAAGGTTTACATCATATGGGTATTAGGCATATCTACAAATCTACAAAATAGGTTTCTTATGTAGGTCGAACATACTTACTTGTCGTATTTTCTTTTGTATTATCTTTACTGGCCCAAACGGGTTCATGATTTTGGTTCATATAGGAAGGTTGATCCCAAACAGCTTTCTCTTCGACATTTTTGCTCTGTAAATGGAATTCAATAAAAAAATTGTTAATAATAATATTAATTTAAAATATATATACAACATACATAATCCTTGTCGACTCTCAATTCCATTTCATCGCTTGTCTGTTCGAGGGTACTGTGAGTGATGCCATAATAAAAGTACATAACGAAGCCCAGTGACATCCAAATGGTAAATCTAACTAAGGTTAATATGCTTAACTTAAATATTAAATAGATATTGACTGCAATGGCAATCGCTGGAATAAATGGAAGTCCAGGGGTAAGGAACGCAAGCGCATATCTGAGAACGAATGAAAGTCGAAATACGAAAGTATTTTGAAAATATTATTAGTTTTTTTTTGAACTCCCGGTTATGTTAAAATACTAAATCATAGTTACATACATATAAGTTATAGGAAATTGAAAATCTTTACCTATTTTGTGGTTGTCTTGAGATAATTAATAATATCACAAATATGCCGATAAATAAAATGAAATAAATGAATGCTGCGAAACCACCGGACCAGCCAATGGCCGCAAATAGATCCAAGAAGAATATGAGACCGAACATGATGCCAACAAGTTTGGTCACATACATGCCTGCGGATGCGGAAATTTAGAATTTTGAACAAGATTTGTTTTCGGTTAAAATTGTAAAATTTTGATTAAAAAAACATTTCAATAAGAGATTAGCTTAATCTAAAAAATCTTACCACTTTCCGTGGTGGCCTGGCCGGGATTTATCCAGGGAAAGAAACCAGGACACAGATATGAATATTCATGTATTTTTCTCGATATGAAATTCAAACCCATTGTATCAAAGGCTGTAGCCTGTCCAGTGGGACCAGTTGGTGCACCATGTACAGCACCATAGAATTTATTTTCCGAACGATCTGACACCAGAAATTGATCATCACGGCCCAAATAACCTTCGGGACTTTCATCGATAAAGGAATCATCTGAATCGGACATGCCTCGAGTTACACGTTTAATGGTCAATTTATTCGTTTCCAAAACTTCAGCTGTGGTTTTGTGTGGATCGTTGGCAGCGCCCGCCGTTATGGGTGTGCGTAGTTGAGCTGGTAACAATTCGATTAGGGAAGTACTGTGTGGTTGATAGCGCAGCACTAGCACACATGTGGATACGAGTGTATAGGCGAGCAGAGTTCCGATCGACATCATTTCTACTAGAATTTCTAGACGTACGGATAGTGCTACTAAGGCGGCTGCAATACCACTTCCTATTGTGGCTAAACCAGGTACATTAGTACGTTGCCATAGATGAGAAAGTTGTCTGGAAATTAGTTTTAATTAATGTTTATTGGTTGTTGAATAAGGGTTAATAATGCTGATTAAAATATGAAAGGCTTAAGGCCTATTAAGGATTTAAGATCTACATATGTATATAAACTCACTTGAATATCAAACCATCTTGAGCCATGGCATATATAACTCTTGGCATTGGAAACATCGAACCGAACATGGCCACCGATAGACCAGCTGTTGCACCAATTGCCACAATGGCTCTGCATTTGGGTGCATTGACATACGACCACATTTGCACCAAAGCAGCACCAGCATTGATGTGATCGTAGGGAACGACAAGTGTTAAAACTAAACTAACTGTAACATAGGCCAAGAGAACAACAAACAGTGAACCCACTATTGCTTTTGGAATACTTTTTTGAGGATTGTGGGCTTCTTCACCCGTTGTGGCTATAATATCGAAGCCAATAAATGCATAAAAACATGTGGCAGCACCGGAAAACACCTGAAACAACCCCATGAAAAAATTAAAGAAAGAGCAGGGGAAAAAAAGAACAATGCAAAAAACAAATAAATAAATTAATCCTCAATATGTTTTTCGTTCTTGATAATCATGTTCTTGACTACATATTTATACATACATATAAATAAATAAACAAACAAAGAAAGTAATTACACTTACCCCACTCCAACCGTATGGCAAGAATCCTTGATGTTCAGTCCATGTATTTGTATCCACATAAAACAAGCCAGCAGTCATAACAAACACCCAGGTTGCAAGATTTATGGCATTTAAAGTATGATTAAATATCACCGATTTACTGGCACCCATTGCCAGTACACTTGTCATTATGAGTGTAATGCCGAAGGCTATAAAATCAGGTGGTTTACCTGTATCCAACATGAAATAATGTTAAATATTATGTTTGGAATTACACTTAAATACCAATCTGTGTCGGCTTGAGTATTTGTATGTTTGTGTGGGTAGATAGGTGTTTGTGTTGTTTGTTGTTTGGGGGTATTTAAAATTCAAATAAATGTTTATCTTACCAAATATGGTACCAATAGTATCGCCTATGGCTGTTGATATGGCACCGCCGGTTAGTGAATCAAAACTTGAACTTAACGCACAAGCACAGGCACTTGTTCCTGCAAAGAAAAAAAAAGTATTACGAAAGAAAAATAAATCTTTTTTGTAAATTATCTTGTACGAGTTTCTATGGAAATGTTTGTAAAACAAATTAAAAAGAAATGTTGAGAACAACAACAAGAAAGAAGACTTTGATTCAGCATGTGGCTTGTTTTTTACTCAACCGAACTACGTGCTGCTAGTTGAATGTCTTAAAACTTTTGTTTTATTATTTTTTTTTATAATATTTAAAAATTGAATGTTAAATGATGATAAGAGATAAAGATTAAAGTAATCGAACGATGATAATAGTATGGCGTTTATTTTCAAAGTGAGAGTCCAGAATTATTGATAGTTCGATCTATTTGTGGTTTTATAAGTGTGATTCTCAGTCCTAAATCCTTGCACCATTGTGATCATCCTTAATGATATCGTTGTATCGTAATCTTTTTATCATGAAAACGAGTAACTCTGGCAAAGAACAAGGTTCCCAACATTTGGCGCATTAATTAGAAAATCTTGTTGATAATGCAATGTAAATGTCTTCACTAACTGATACCCAGTGGAGAAATGTTCAAAGCTCCCAAAATGCTGCCGTAAAACAAGAAACATAATGACATCTTGTCATCTAATTCCTCCTGGGATGCTACTGAAGGGTCATCCTAACTTTAACATCACACGGTTGGATGCTTCCCAAAATGCTGCCGTAAGACAAGAAACATAATGACATCTTGTCATCTAATTTCTCCTAGGATGTTGGATGTTGGACAGTTGGATGCTTCCCTGAGGCATATCAGTAAGGAGCTTCTTGCATACGAGAAGAATATACGATGTTTTGTGTTGGACCTATTAGATCGAACCTCCTATAAGGCAGTTTTGAACATTTGTAGGAGATCACATGAATATTGTACTTAGAGGCCACCCATTGTCTATAGATGAGACTAACGAAAAAACACGCAGCAAATGGAACAACAAATATAATGTCTCTGGTCCCACATAAATCACGTTGTCCTTAATGAATGGCCAGATAATGATCAGTGTCCTCATGACACCATGGAAATATTAGATTTCTCACTTTTTCCAATTGATTTATAAACAAACCCTGTGAAAATAGCATAATTAACAACAAACATAATGTCTCTGGTCCCACATTATTCACGTTGTGCTTAATTTCCCACTTTTTCCAATCGATTTATCAACAAACCCTGTGAAAATAGCATAATTTTAAGGAATGGGCTTTGATGAAGGACTCGCGAATTGGATTATTGTATGGTTTGAGCTATTACAACAAGAACTATAACAGCAAAGAATCAGTTCATCGTCGGTCTTCGTTACAACAGTTGCAACTAAGACTCCATTATGGATTAACTATATGTACGAAAACCTAAGTGATACAGTTTTTACAGTAGACTATCGATAATCATTGTGGATCTTCTTCAAATGGATCTTCTTCGTTAAGTTGTTGTCACAGCGGAGACTGGTGGTGAATGTAATTTGTGAAGAAATTTCGTACTTATTTTACAGAAGTGTAAAGCTTTGATAGATTAATATTGGGTAGATTCAAAAATAAACTATTGACTTTATAAACACCAGAGTTAGAGTCTAACTGCCTCATTTATAACAACTTATCAAAGGTTTATAGAACAAAAAATTGTCCTATAAACCTTTGATAAATTGTTATGAATAAGGCCATAAAAGTCTCGATTTCTCCATAATTATTTGGTAGCCGACCGAAGGACGAAGCATTTCTAGTATTCAGTTGCTTATAGTCCCAGTTTTGAATATATTAACATTATTCAAAGCATTAAGGATCTAATTGCTATTGCATTTTGAAGATTTAAAAGAAATCTGATCTCTAATGGATCTGACTAGAACTAGCATTGGTTTTAGATTGACTTGAAAAGTGGAGCTCATGTAGTGAACACATATTTCCCTATGGTATGGCCATTTTCACGGTGGTACTTTTTCAACCACAGGGTGATCTAGAGAAGACTTAATATTGTGCATTGTAAAAAGCATACAAGTGACAAATTTTTTTTACATGTTTCGAGTACTCGAGTACATAATCTCTTACTCTTGCTGTTCCGATGCGTAACTTCCGACCATATTTGACAACAGCACCGAACTTATCCCTAAATATAGATTTCACCGTGCATTACTCTTTTAAATAACATTCTGTTCCCTCGATTTTGGGTTTCAATCTCTCAAATAACCGGGACAAGACAAAGTCCGAAACTTTACCGGTTTACTACCGGTTTCCTTGGTACCCGATGAAATAGCTGTACCTATACATGCACCCCGAAGGGACCTCTCCAATATCCTTGACAAGACAAAGTCTTAAACTCTACCTGTGCGCTACCGGTTCCTGTGATAACAGATAAAATAGTTTCTTTCGTTCGAAGCCAGGTCAAATTATTCCAAGAAAAGGTCGAGAATGCATTTGGCACCACTAGTTTATAGTACCGGTAGACTAAAGGTACTGGGAGTACATCTTTATCCCTGGATTGCAATCACACAGAGATAGGGGAAGTTCATCAAACATCACATACCCGGGAGTAGTCAGAGCACATGTAGTAGTAGTCAGAGCACATGTTAAGCTTGCCAATTAAGCCAACAGACTTTTCTTTTCTTATTAAATGATTTTTGAGTTATGTTCATTAAATCTAAACTAGATTAAATGTTTATAACAAAGAAATTAAAATTATATTACATACCTATTAAATATTCCAATATCATATTCCAACCAATAATAAATGCAACAAATTCGCCAACGGCAACATATGAATACATATACGCGGAACCGGATGTATGTGGTACACGCACACCAAACTCAGCATAACAGGCGCCTAAAAGTATATATTACAAAACAATTATTGAACAATAATAGATGGTATTAGTTAACAAATCAATATTTGTACATTTGAAACATGTAGCAATAAAACTAATAAAAAAATTATTCTATCACGAATAATTTCTATTGTAAAACATTTAAAATTTAAAATCATTTTAAAAATAACAACTTTTACATTGCCAATCCGCTGACAAAACAGTTGTCATTACATTATGTTAATAGTTTAGCTAGTTTTACAAATCTGTTAAATGGCAACATCATCATGACCAAGTTGTGAATGTATATTAGAATCAGTGGTCGGCATTCATAGCTAATAAGAACCAAAAGCAATTAGCACACACTTGTTAATAAAAACGAATTGGTTAAAAATTTTACATTTGATAGCTGTAATCTTTAATTTTTAAAATAAAATGTCAGTGAGAAAACCATCTCTTTGTACCGACCACTGATGTAAATTGCTAAAGAATGACTAAAGTATACATTAATAACAATTACCTGAAAAAATACTAGCTATTGCAGCAATAATAAAACTAATTATCACACCAGGACCGGCAATATTTTTGGCCACCATACCGGCAACTAAATACATGCCAGTGCCACAACACGAACCAATACCCAGCGATGTGAGATCTAAAGTGTTTAGGCATTTCTAAAATAAAAAAAATAAACAAAATAAGTATAAAAACACATTATTCATATAAAGAGTATAAAAATGGGAAATATTTTAGATTTTATTGTTATTACACGCGCGAATTTATATGAATTTATGCACATTTTTTTGATGAATCCAAATTAAACTTTCTTTCGACATCGAGTAACAACTTAAAAATCCCAAATATCTGGTTTAATTTTGTTCAAAAATAAACACGCAATTTGTGTACAAAGCATATAAATGGTTTATTTGCCAAATAAACTAACTTCACTTTCAAAAGGAAATTAAATTTCCTTAATACAAACTTTTTAGTTAACTTTATTTAATTGATGAAAGTATTAAATTTCTAGTTTATTTCCAAATTCAAAATAAATTTCCTTAAAAAAATAACTTACACAGTTAGTCAATTTGGCAACTCAGTTATTTACAGTTATGATGTATACTTATTAGTAAATTATTAACAATTTGTATTTAATAAATGTAAAGTACATACACTAAATATATAATAATGTAAATAATTTGTAATTGTTAATTGTTATAAATATTTAATGACGGAAAGTTTGTTAAAACTTTTGTTTATACATTTACATATAATTAAATGCTGGTTGGCTGGCTAGCACGTGTAGACAGATAGATAGACAGTCTAAAAGTATTATTGACTTACCGTTAATTTTGGCTTTGTAGGTTGTGAATTACCGTCCTGTAACTGTTTGACATCCTTGGTTCGTATTAATTTTGGTAGCAATGTGGCACTGTTTACACCAGGCGGTAAGGGAACTTTAAATTTGACCTGTGTTAAATATAGATGAAAAACAAAAGTTTTATGAGAATTTTAAACACAAAGAAAATTAAATAAATATTATATAAGCTATAAACTATTATTAAAATAAAATTCCATTTTAAAATGAATATTTAAAATTTGGAAAGGTAAAAGAGACATGAGCAAACCATCTTGTGTTTAGCGAATAAATTTAAAAATCTGCTCAGATATGCCAAATGTGCATATAGACTATAGAATAGACTAGACTATAGACTAGACTATAGACTAGACTATAGACTAGACTGTAGACTAGACTATAGACTAGACTATAGACTAGACTTTAGACTAGACTATAGACTATAGACTAGACTATAGACTAGACTATAGACTAGACTATAGACTAGACTATAGACTAGACTATAGACTAGACTATAGACTAGACTATAGACTAGACTATAGACTAGACTATAGACTAGACTATAGACTAGACTATAGACTAGACTATAGACTAGACTATAGACTAGACTATAGACTAGACTATAGACTAGACTATAGACTAGACTATAGACTAGACTATAGACTAGACTATAGACTGGACTATAGACTAGACTATAGACTAGACTATAGACTAGACTATAGACTAGACTATAGACTAGACTATAGACTAGACTATAGACTAGACTATAGACTAGACTATAGACTAGACTATAGACTAGACTATAGACTAGACTATAGACTAGACTATAGACTAGACTATAGACTAGACTATAGACTAGACTATAGACTAGACTATAGACTAGACTATAGACTAGACTATAGACTAGACTATAGACTAGACTATAGACTAGACTATAGACTAGACTATAGACTAGACTATAGACTAGACTATAGACTAGACTATAGACTAGACTATAGACTAGACTATAGACTAGACTAGACTAGACTATAGACTAGACTATAGACTAGACTATAGACTAGACTAGACTAGACTATAGACTAGACTATAGACTAGACTATAGACTAGACTATAGACTAGACTATAGACTAGACTATAGACTAAACTATAGACTAGACTATAGACTAGACTATAGACTAAACTATAGACTAGACTATAGACTAGACTATAGACTAAATAGACTAGACTAGACTAAATAGACTAGACTATAGACTAAATAGACTAGACTATAGACTGGACTATAGACTAGACTATAGACTAGACTATAGACTAGACTATAGATTAGACTATAGACTAGACTATTGACTAGACTAGACTAGACTATAGACTAGACTATAGACTAGACTATAGACTAGACTATAGACTAGACTATAGACTAGACTATAGACTAGACTATAGACTAGACTATAGACTAGACTATAGACTAGACTATAGACTAGACTATAGACTAGACTATAGACTAGACTATAGACTAGACTATAGACTAGACTATAGACTAGACTATAGACTAGACTATAGACTAGACTATAGACTAGACTATAGACTAGACTATAGACTAGACTATAGACTAGACTATAGACTAGACTATAGACTAGACTATAGACTAGACTACAGACTAGACTATAGACTAGACTATAGACTAGACTATAGACTAGACTATAGACTAGACTGTAGACTAGACTATAGACTAGACTATAGACTAGACTATAGACTAGACTATAGACTAGACTATAGACTAGACCTATAGACTAGACTATAGACTAGACTATAGACTAGACTATAGACTAGACTATAGACTAGACTATAGACTAGACTATAGACTAGACTATAGACTAGACTATAGACTAGACTATAGACTAGACTATAGACTAGACTATAGACTAGACTATAGACTAGACTATAGACTAGACTATAGACTAGACTATAGACTAGACTATAGACTAGACTATAGACTAGACTATAGACTAGACTATAGACTAGACTATAGACTAGACTATAGACTAGACTATAGACTAGACTATAGACTAGACCTATAGACTAGACATATAGACTAGACTATAGACTAAGACTATAGACTAGACTATAGACTAGACTATAGACTAGACTATAGACTAGACTATAGACTATAACTAGACTAGACTATTAGACTAGACTATAGACTAGACTATAGGACTAGGACTATAGACTAGACTATAGACTAGACTATAGACTAGACTATAGACTAGACTATAGACTAGACTATAGACTAGACTAGATAGACTAGACTATAGACTAGACTATAGACTAGACTATAGACTAGACTATAGACTAGACTATAGACTAGACTATAGACTAGACTATAGACTAGACTATAGACTAGACTATAGACTAGACTATAGACTAGACTATAGACTAGACTATAGACTAGACTATAGACTAGACTATAGACTAGACTATAGACTAGACTATAGACTAGACTATAGACTAGACTATAGACTAGACTATAGACTAGACTATAGACTAGGACTATAGACTAGACTATAGACTAGACTATAGACTAGACTATAGACTAGACTATAGACTAGACTATAGACTAGACTATAGACTAGACTATAGACTAGACTATAGACTAGACTATAGACTAGACTATAGACTAGACTATAGACTAGACTATAGACTAGACTATAGACTAGACTATAGACTAGACTATAGACTAGACTATAGACTAGACTATAGACTAGACTATAGACTAGACTATAGACTAGACTATAGACTAGACTATAGACTAGACTATAGACTAACTATAGACTAGACTATAGACTAGACTATAGACTAGACTATAGACTAGACTATAGACTAGACTATAGACTAGACTATAGACTAGACTATAGACTAGACTATAGACTAGACTATAGACTATAGACTATAGACTAGACTATAGACTAGACTATAGACTAGACTATAGACTAGACTATAGACTAGACTATAGACTAGACTATAGACTAGACTATAGACTAGACTATAGACTAGACTATAGACTAGACTATAGACTACTATAGACTAGACTATAGACTAGACTATAGACTAGACTATAGACTAGACTATAGACTAGACTATAGACTAGACTATAGACTAGACTATAGACTAGACTATAGACTAGACTATAGACTAGACTATAGACTAGACTATAGACTAGACTATAGACTAGACTATAGACTAGACTATAGACTAGACTATAGACTAGACTATAGACTAGACTATAGACTAGACTATAGACTAGACTATAGACTAGACTGTAGACTAGACTATAGACTAGACTATAGACTAGACTGTAGACTAGACTATAGACTAGGACTATAGACTAGACTATAGACTAGACTATAGACTAGACTATAGACTAGACTATAGACTAGACTATAGACTAGACTATAGACTAGACTATAGACTAGACTATAGACTAGACTATACACTAGACTAGACTATAGACTAGACTATGTTAATTGTTATAAATATAGACTAGTCTATAGTCTAGTCTATGCGATTAAGACGATTAAGAAATGGCGGATTAAGAAGAATTGGTGCACTAAAAATGCGCTATCGCAATGGGACCTATTTATGAATCTAAGTGAGCTTAGTATGCTTTAAGAAGTTACCAAATTAACCACATTAAATTTTGTGTAAAAGTGTTGAAGATCTTTAACAAAGTGTTCCATATTTTTAAACAGATTTTTTTAATTTTTATTAGATATTTAATTATATATGAGTACATTTTAAGCAATTATGAAAAACATTTCCTACGAATAAGAAAATAAATATTTTTCTGCAATCATAGTGTATATTTCTAATTTTTTTAATTTTTATTAGATATTTAATTATATATGAGTACATTTTAAGCAATTATGAAAAACATTTCCTACGAATAAGAAAATAAATATTTTTCTGCAATCATAGTGTATATTTCTATGTCCGGTTATATTATGTGCACATATATACATACATACTGTGGGGGTTAAATTATCGGACTAATTAAAAATCAACATAATAATACATATGTATATGTCCTGGAAAATTTAATGGGTTATTGTGGTCTGAAGCACTTATTAGAAGCAACGAATTAGCGAATGTACTAATTTTAAAGAGAAAGGGATCTCAAGGTAACCTGACGAACGCAAAACCATTCGGCGCAACAAGGACTGAATTAAAAAAATGGGTGAGAGAATCCCTTAAATCCTCTGGGTATATTGACGAGAAGCCTCTTAAGATTGAGCAAGTTCGAGGTTGGTATGATGGCACGTTTTCTGAGTGGACACACTGCATAACGAGCACAACTATACGAAACTGAAAACGCGGATACTGATGTCTTTCGTCGAAGTTAAATCTAAATATCTGGCGCGATATTATTCCGGATAAAACATTCCCCACGAATACTAATAGGACAAATCTTAGCATCTTGATATAGTGATCTATATAAGGACTTTGTTTTTTTTTTTCAACAAACATTTGAGAAATCTTTAAGAGGTGAAATTGATCGAGCCTTGCAAAATTTCCCGAAATACAAACTAATTTTGAGCTACACTGTAAACAATCGTGCACATAAATACAAATACCTACATGCATAAGTATGTTTGTAAATTTACCAGGATATTTATGCAAGTATTTAATCGCCTGAATGTGTCCGTGTAGTCGGTATATGAGCGTGTTGTGTTCATGTATAGGTTTGTGCATGTTTCAACTGACCATGCATGAGTAGAGTAAGAGAAAGGATGAAAAAAAAAAACGAAAGACATGAATAAAATAAAACATACAGCAAAGAGAAATGAAATCAAGGACCTTGGAATAACATAAATTGCATGCACAACAACACAGTTGCTGTTGTTCTGTTCCTGCATTCTCGGTATTGTGTGGCAAATTGAAAGGAAACAATTGTTGATTGGATGTATAAGTAAGTGTGTATGTATGTTAGGGGATGTACATATTTATTTATATATGTGTTTTGTTTTATTAACAAAAACCCAACTTCCGTTTTATCGTGAGCCTTTTTTTCATACTCAATATCATAAACATTCAAACATGTTTCCTCTAGAGTGCAGTGTTG